TCCCGGGCACGCATCAGATGGCACTGCGTCCTTCCACTGCGCCACAGCGTTTCCCTTTGCCGTCTCCTCCAGAGTCCTCTCTTCCTGCTCTTGGTGACCCGGCGTCTGACTCCCTTCGTGCTGCCAGTCCTACTGTCACGCGTTTCCTAGCCACTGTTGTCACTGACCCTTCCTTTGAGTCCACTGCTGCGTCTGCCTTAGTTACCGAGCTTGTCGACTTCGCTGCTCACTGTCGTCTAGACTACGCCGCTAGTCTTGTTGCTGAGTCTGCGTATGCGTCTGTCTGTCCTCCGTCCGTCGGGGGTGAGTGTGCTCTTAGCACGGACGTCCTTGAGGACCGACAGGAGGAGTTCCAGTGTTTTGCTGCTGCTTTACCTCATCTCGTGTCCACGCTGCTTGCCCCTGAGGGAGACCCGGATGCACCAGACATCCCGACCCCGCGCTCTTACGCAGAGACGATAGAGGGTCCTTACTCCTCTCAGTGGCAGGCAGCCATGGACGCAGAGATGGCTTCCTGGAAGTCGACGAGGTTCCCCCACCTGGGGCGAACATCGTCAGTGGCATGTGGATTTTCAGGGTGAAGCGGCCGCCGGGTTCTCCGCCTGTCTTCAAGGCGCGTTACGTGGCTCGAGGCTTCAGTCAGCGGCAGGGAGTTGACTACTTTCAGACCTTCTCCCCGACCCCGAAGATGACCACTCTTCGGGTTCTGCTGCACGTTGCTGCTCAGCGTGACTATGAGCTTCACTCCCTTGACTTCAGCACTGCTTTCCTACAGGGCTGTCTGCACGAGGAGATCTGGCTGCGCCGCCCACCTGGCTTCACTGGGTCGTTTCCTCCTGGTACCCAGTGGAGCCTCCGGCGGCCAGTCTACGGTCTCCGCCAGGCGCCACGTGAGTGGCACGACACACTGAGGACTACGCTTGCGGCTCTTGGGTTTGCTCCTTCCACTGCTGACCCGTCGCTGTTTCTTCGCACCGACACTTCTTTGCCGCCGTTCTACATCCTCGTGTACGTCGACGACTTGGTCTTCGCCACAGCTGACACTGCTGGACTCGCCCACGTGAAGTCCGAGCTGCAGAAGAGACACACGTGCACAGACCTGGGTGAACTGCGTAGCTACCTTGGCTTGCAGATCACCCGGGACAGAGCACGCCGCACCATTACCCTGACCCAGTCACACATGGTGCAGCAGGTCCTTCAGCGCTTCGGCTTCACGTACTCCTCGCCTCAGGCCACTCCTCTGCCTACTCGCCACTCGCTGTCAGCTCTGCCTTCGGATGAGTCCGTAGAGTCGAGTGGCCCGTACCCAGAGCTTGTTGGCTGCCTCATGTACCTGATGACCTGCACACGACCTGACCTTGCATACCCTCTTAGCATTCTTGCACGCTATGTTGCTCCTGGGAGACACAGACCGGAGCACATGGCTGCAGCGAAGAGGGTGTTGCACTACTTGTGCAGTACGTCGGGCATGGGGCTTGTGCTTGGAGGGCAGAGTCCAGTGGTCCTCACTGGGCACGCAGACGCTTCTTGGGCTGACGACCAGGCTACGCAGCGGTCGTCACAGGGTTACACCTTCAGCCTTGGTTCCGGCTCTGTTTCGTGGCGGGCTACCCGCTCGTCTTCTGTTCTCGGCTCCAGTTGTGAGGCTGAGATCTACGCAGGGGCCATGGCTGCACAGGAGTTACGCTGGCTCACCTACTTGCTGACTGACCTGGGAGAGCCGCCTCGTTCTCCTCCAGTTCTGTACGTAGACAACAAGGCTATGCTGGCCTTGTGTCGGGAGCACAGACTGGAGCACAGAACGAAGCACATTGCTCTTCGCTACTTCCTTGCTCGTGAGCTGCAGCAGCGTGGTCAGCTGCGCCTTGCTTACGTGGCCTCTCAGGCCAACACTGCTGATATCTTTACCAAGGCACTTCAGCCTTGTGATCATCAGCGCTTCTGTACTATGCTAGGTCTTGTGCCTACTTGGCCTCACTTGCTTACCTCTTGACTTTCCTTGTACTGTGATCTATATATACCTGCACTTGCTTGTTTACCTTTATATATGAACTTGCATGTGAACTGGCCTTGTGGCCTTTGAACCGGTGCTCAGACTGTGTGGTGACTTTGTGATCCACCCTGAGCTTGCTTTGCTTTGCTTTGCTTGACTGGTCTTGTGACCCCTAGTTCTCCCCCACTTTGCCTATGGGGGTGTGTCAAATGTATATGCCTTAGCCTATATAGGCTGTAGTGGGGTAGTTCCTAGAGGGTACAACACTTTTGTGTTCTCTATTTGTACCCACCTCATTTCTAGTTCAATCATTCCTGTTTAATTCTTCACAAATATGTCAATGGTAACTTACATGGGGCACTATAACGCGTACGGTAACGATTTCAACGCGTACGGTAACTCGCTTAACGCGTTTGGTAACTCGCTTAACACGTTTGGTAACTCGCTTAACGCATTTGGTAACTCTACACTAGCAGCCCATCACGCGAATGGTAACTACATGAAATTCCCGCCGAAATGATCCTGACAAAGAGGAATTTATTGAGTTTGAAAGCTTTTACGCACAGTATTATTATTCTCAACACGTCCTGCCGCGAATTTGAAGGACCCCGTTTGTTCTATTACCACGGACCGAAATGTTTCAGAGCAGTTTTATATATATATGTAGCTCGTACAAAAAAGGTTAAAATTATTTTTTTGATAGCATGGTTGCGAACTTGCAAAACGATAAAAATTTATTTCCCGAAAGGACCTCGAGGCTTTTACTTTTTTTATAATTACTGCAACGTTGGAGAATTTTTGCATGTGGGAACAATACACCTCTTTAAAATTGCATGTTTCTTTTTTTAAATAAAGAACCATAAACGTCTGGTCGCAAGGAGTTAAGGGTTGTTGCTCTCAAATTTATTTGCCATCTGAAAGGGGTATAGATTTGTTTGCCCCGGCTGTACGACAGAATAAATTACAAACAGTTTGCGGAAAGAGCGCCAGAATATCAATTATGTATGAACAATTGTTTTTACAAAGCTTACGTTTTTGCAATTAGCTTGAAAATCGGAAAGTGTGTCAGGATTTCGGAAAGTGTGTCAGAATTTCGGAAAGCTGTGTCAGAATTTCGGAGAGTGTGCCAGAGGTTTCTGTTTCAGGATTCGTCAATTTATTCTGACGCGATTGGGAAAAACCAGAATCAGGCTCAATTTCGGCGGGAATTTCATGTAATTACCATTCGCGTGATGGGCTGCTAGTGTTGAGTTACCAAATGCGTTAAGCGAGTTACCAAACATGCTAAGCGAGTTACCAAATGCGTTAAACGAGTTACCAAATGCGTTGAAATCGTTACCGTACGCGTTATAGTGCCCCATGTGAGTTACCATTGACATATTTTCCCATTCTTTTTCGTCTATCCACCTCTCCAGAATCTCTCTAATCTCTCTAGAGTTCCCAAAGAATTTTGACACTTGTTCTGGTTCAGGTGGCACATACCTGTGTATTTTGTTCAGTAGACTACCAGTACGTGCTAAGGGGTGGTACCATTGGCAAATACCAAGGCGATCGATGTTCGGCAGCCACAAGCAAATACCAGGCAACATTTTGCCGCAGGACAGGTAACTCTCCGAGGATTTCGATACCAGGCTGTGGCTTTTAAACAACTTCGATTGTTCCTGTCATGGCCTCCCATTCTCTCCGCCAATCGCCCGTTTGTGCCACCCAATCCTCGTTCAAGTCACCCGCCATTTCCTCGCCTCAGCAAGATCGCATACGCGTCCATAGCGCGCATAAGATTCGCGCGTACGAACACCCGAGTCCGTCAAGTCAACGTCAACGGGGTCAACATCAGAAGGGTTCACAGGGCGTACAGGGCTCACATGTCTTACAACGCGTACATGGTGTACCTGTATTACATTGTGAGCGCCAAATACATCGCCCGCGTCATGTAGTACATTACCATTATCATCATCGTTACCATCACCATCACCTTCATTATCATCACCATGACCGCCATCACGAATGGAGACCATCTCACTCGAGTCCAGCAAGGAGTATTAGCAGAGTTATAGCCGCGGTTGGCCGCCGCGACTATAACGAGTACGCCGATCGCGACGGCGTAGCGGGGTCGCTCGTCCGTTCGACTCAGTCGCGCGAGGATGCAGTAACACGCGATGACGCTAGAAAAGCCTCTCGAGTTCATCCTTCCACTCGCCCAAGCATCGTCCGGAGAAGCGCAGGCAATGAGACTAGTGAAAACACAATCAACGGAAACAGGAGCACTTGTAATGCCGGGAATGGTGGCGTGAAACACGGACACGCCTGGGGGGGGCATGAATGGGGGGTTAATCACTGGGCCCGGTTCTCGGCTGTAGCAGGAGCTGTAGCGGCAGGCTTCCTCGGTACCACTCTGCTTCTCCCGCCCTACGCGATCGCTGCTACCACGAGCAAAGCTGCCGCAATCGCCGCCGCGCAGGTAGCAGCAGCAGCAGCGGAGGCCGCCGCGGAAGCCGCAGCATACGCAGCAGAAGCAGCAGCGCAGGCGGCAGAAGCGGCAGCGGAAGCAGCTGAGGCGGCGGCAGAGGCGGCGGCGGCAGCAGCAGAAGCAGTGGGAGCAGTGGGGGAAGGAGCAGCAGGAGGGGGGTTCATGCAGAACGCAGTATGGAACCTAGCCTCCTTGCCAGACCTCCCTGTTGTCGACCTAAAGCACCTGCCAGGGGTTCTATCATCCCTGCCTGTCCTCCTCCTCCCCTCCTCCTTCCCCCTCTCGCTCTCCCTCGCCCTTCCCCTTCAAGCACAACTAAGTGCCCCGCCCATTGCTTTAGAAAACGCCTTTTCTGGCGCTACTGTTGCTGCTATCTCTGTCACTGCTGGTTCGGCTGCTAGTGCAGCGGCAGCAACACCAGCAGCATCAGCAGCAGGAGCAGCAGCACCAGTAGCAGCAGCGGCAGCGGCAGTGACGGCAGCAGTGGCAGGGGTGGGAGCGGCAGCGGCATCACTAGGCGAGTGGCAGGACCCGGTGATGGGGCTGGTGACGCTGCTGGGGTCGCTCATCTGGGTGCGGCTGTTTGATGAGCTGGCCAGGCGAGACCTCATTGAACGGGTGAGCTGTGGGTTTGAAAGAGGCTGGGAGGCTTTAGGCGTTGAGGGAGTGGAAAATGAGAGGTGTGAGAAGCTGTGAGGTGAGGTGTGATGAGGTGAGGTGAGGTGAGGTGAGGTGAGGTGAGGTGAGGTGAGGTGAGGTGAGGTGAGGTGAGGTGAGGTGAGGTGAGGTGAGGTGAGGTGAGGGGAGGGGAGTGGTGAGTTAAGACTGGTCTTCATCCCCTTCTCCTCCCCCATTCACCCTTGTCCCCGTTATTGCATGTTTCGCCAAGTGCAGAAGCTGAGTCGCAAGCTCGTGCACATCACCACAGGCCTGCTCTTCATGCTCTTCTGGCCGCTCTTCAGGTCAGCTCTCCCTCTTTTGCGACGTCTCAAAACAGGTCAGCTCCTCTCTGTTAGCTGTTATGTGGACTTTTAAGGTGCCTCAAAATCTCGTGCACATCACCACAGGCCTCCTCTTCATGCTCTTCTGGCCGCTCTTCAGGTCAGCTCTCCCTCTTTTGCGACGTCTCAAAACAGGTCAGCTCCTCCTCTCTGTTAGCTGTTATGTGGACTTTTAAGGCGCCTCAAAATCTCGTGCACATCACCACAGGCCTGCTCTTCATGCTCTTCTGGCCGCTCTTCAGGTCAGCTCTCCCTCTTTTGCGACGTCTCAAAACAGGTCAGCTCCTCCTCTCTGTTAGCTGTTATGTGGACTTTTAAGGCGCCTCAAAATCTCGTGCACATCACCACAGGCCTCCTCTTCATGCTCTTCTGGCCGCTCTTCAGGTCAGCTCTCCCTCTTTTGCGACGTCTCAAAACAGGTCAGCTCCTCCTCTCTGTTAGCTGTTATGTGGACTTTTAAGGCGCCTCAAAATCTCGTGCACATCACCACAGGCCTCCTCTTCATGCTCTTCTGGCCGCTCTTCAGGTCAGCTCTCCCTCTTTTGCGACGTCTCAAAACAGGTCAGCTCCTCCTCTCTGTTAGCTGTTATGTGGACTTTTAAGGCGCCTCAAAATCTCGTGCACATCACCACAGGCCTCCTCTTCATGCTCTTCTGGCCGCTCTTCAGGTCAGCTCTCCCTCTTTTGCGACGTCTCAAAACAGGTCAGCTCCTCCTCTCTGTTAGCTGTTATGTGGACTTTTAAGGCGCCTCAAAATCTCGTGCACATCACCACAGGCCTCCTCTTCATGCTCTTCTGGCCGCTCTTCAGGTCAGCTCTCCCTCTTTTGCGACGTCTCAAAACAGGTCAGCTCCTCCTCTCTGTTAGCTGTTATGTGGACTTTTAAGGCGCCTCAAAATCTCGTGCACATCACCACAGGCCTCCTCTTCATGCTCTTCTGGCCGCTCTTCAGGTCAGCTCTCCCTCTTTTGCGACGTCTCAAAACAGGTCAGCTCCTCCTCTCTGTTAGCTGTTATGTGGACTTTTAAGGCGCCTCAAAATCTCGTGCACATCACCACAGGCCTCCTCTTCATGCTCTTCTGGCCGCTCTTCAGGTCAGCTCTCCCTCTTTTGCGACGTCTCAAAACAGGTCAGCTCCTCCTCTCTGTTAGCTGTTATGTGGACTTTTAAGGCGCCTCAAAATCTCGTGCACATCACCACAGGCCTGCTCTTCATGCTCTTCTGGCCTCTCTTCAGGTCAGCAGCACCCCTGTTCGTTAGGCTCTTCAGGTCAGCTCTCCCTCCTTTTGCCGCTCTCTTCCATGTCAGCAGCTCCTTCTCCCTCGTTGCTCCTCCTGGTGTGTGACATGGCTGACATGGTTGGTGAGCTGTTCTTGTGGATCTTCAGTCGAGCATCCTCTGTTACTTGGGCTCTTCAACTCAACTCTTCCTCTCTTCGCTCTTAAGCTCAGCGCCTGCTGCTACTGCTTCAGCCTCTCGAGTTAGCCTCACATCATCTTGCCTATACCCCACTCCCCCCCCCTCCCCACTTCACATCACAAACCATACACTACCCACCCCCGACCCCCTTCTCCTCCCCCTCCCAACCCTCTCCGCTCCCCTCCCCTTTCAACACCCTTACTTTTCTGTTCTTCCAGCACAAGCTTCAACGCACACTTTTTCGCCAGGGTTTAGGGTTACTCACATTAATGCCACGCACCTGTTTAGTGGGTTATAGTGCTAGTGTTATCTTCTCAACGGACAAACCCCCCTCTCCCCCCCCCACCCCCCCACCCCCCCTCCTCCCCTCCCCTCCTCCCCCTCTCCTCCCCCCTCTTCGCCCCTCACACCGCCCTCCACCCCCACCTCCTTGCAGCACGGGCTTCAATGCGCGCTTCTTTGCCAGTGCAGTCCCTCTCATCAACGCCACGCGCCTGCTGCTGCTGGGGCTGGGATTGACGCGCAACGAAGGCATGGTCAAGGCTATGAGCCGAGAGGGTAGCTCCAGGTGTGTGGTCTGGTGTGGTGTGGTGTGTGGGGCTCCTGTGCCCCTTCCGCTCCCATTCCCCCCTCCCCTTACCCCCCCTCCCTGCCCTCCTCTTCGTAGTCAGCCTATGGAGATTTTCAAAATATCTTCTCTCTTCTCTCCCTCTTACAGCCTCTCTCCTCCTCCCCCTCTTGCTCCTCTCATCTCCCCTGCACACACTCCCTCCTTCCACCTCCCCCTCCTTACAGTGAGCTCCTGGGCGGCCCGCTCTACTACATCCTCACGCTGGCCTTCGTTACAATCACATTCTGGCGCTCCTCCCCCGTTGGGGGCGTGGCACTGGCGCTCATGTGCGGTGGAGATGGTGGGTTGTGCGGTGGAGATGGTGGGTTGTGCGGTGGAGATGGTGGGTAGTGTGGTGGAGATGGTGGGTACTGCGGTGGAGATGGTGGGTAGTGCGGTGGAGATGGTGGGTTGTGCGGTGGAGATGGTGGGTTGTGCGGTGGAGATGGTGGGTAGTGCGGTGGAGATGGTGGGTAGTGCGGTGGAGATGGTGGGTAGTGCGGTGGAGATGGTGGGTTGTGCGGTGGAGATGGTGGGTAGTGTGGTGGAGATGGTGGGTACTGCGGTGGAGATGGTGGGTAGTGCGGTGGAGATGGTGGGTTGTGCGGTGGAGATGGTGGGTTGTGCGGTGGAGATGGTGGGTTGTGCGGTGGAGATAGTGGGTAGTGCGGTGGAGATGGTGGGTAGTGTGGTGGAGATGGTGGGTACTGCGGTGGAGATGGTGGGTAGTGCGGTGGAGATGGTGGGTTGTGCGGTGGAGATGGTGGGTTGTGCGGTGGAGATGGTGGGTTGTGCGGTGGAGATGGTGGGTAGTGCGGTGGAGATGGTGGGTAGTGTGGTGGAGATGGTGGGTACTGCGGTGGAGATGGTGGGTAGTGCGGTGGAGATGGTGGGTAGTGCGGTGGAGATGGTGGGTTGTGCGGTGGAGATGGTGGGTAGTGCGGTGGAGATGGTGGGTAGTGTGGTGGAGATGGTGGGTACTGCGGTGGAGATGGTGGGTAGTGCGGTGGAGATGGTGGGTAGTGCGGTGGAGATGGTGGGTAGTGCGGTGGAGATGGTGGGTTGTGCGGTGGAGATGGTGGGTAGTGTGGTGGAGATGGTGGGTACTGCGGTGGAGATGGTGGGTAGTGCGGTGGAGATGGTGGGTTGTGCGGTGGAGATGGTGGGTTGTGCGGTGGAGATGGTGGGTTGTGCGGTGGAGATGGTGGGTAGTGCGGTGGAGATGGTGGGTAGTGTGGTGGAGATGGTGGGTACTGCGGTGGAGATGGTGGGTAGTGCGGTGGAGATGGTGGGTTGTGCGGTGGAGATGGTGGGTTGTGCGGTGGAGATGGTGGGTTGTGCGGTGGAGATGGTGGGTAGTGCGGTGGAGATGGTGGGTAGTGTGGTGGAGATGGTGGGTACTGCGGTGGAGATGGTGGGTAGTGCGGTGGAGATGGTGGGTTGTGCGGTGGAGATGGTGGGTTGTGCGGTGGAGATGGTGGGTTGTGCGGTGGAGATGGTGGGTAGTGCGGTGGAGATGGTGGGTAGTGTGGTGGAGATGGTGGGTACTGCGGTGGAGATGGTGGGTAGTGCGGTGGAGATGGTGGGTTGTGCGGTGGAGATGGTGGGTTGTGCGGTGGAGATGGTGGGTTGTGCGGTGGAGATGGTGGGTAGTGCGGTGGAGATGGTGGGTAGTGTGGTGGAGATGGTGGGTACTGCGGTGGAGATGGTGGGTAGTGCGGTGGAGATGGTGGGTTGTGCGGTGGAGATGGTGGGTTGTGCGGTGGAGATGGTGGGTTGTGCGGTGGAGATGGTGGGTAGTGCGGTGGAGATGGTGGGTAGTGTGGTGGAGATGGTGGGTACTGCGGTGGAGATGGTGGGTAGTGCGGTGGAGATGGTGGGTTGTGCGGTGGAGATGGTGGGTTGTGCGGTGGAGATGGTGGGTTGTGCGGTGGAGATGGTGGGTAGTGCGGTGGAGATGGTGGGTAGTGTGGTGGAGATGGTGGGTACTGCGGTGGAGATGGTGGGTAGTGCGGTGGAGATGGTGGGTAGTGCGGTGGAGATGGTGGGTTGTGCGGTGGAGATGGTGGGTAGTGCGGTGGAGATGGTGGGTAGTGTGGTGGAGATGGTGGGTACTGCGGTGGAGATGGTGGGTAGTGCGGTGGAGATGGTGGGTAGTGCGGTGGAGATGGTGGGTTGTGCGGTGGAGATGGTGGGTTGTGCGGTGGAGATGGTGGGTAGTGTGGTGGAGATGGTGGGTACTGCGGTGGAGATGGTGGGTAGTGCGGTGGAGATGGTGGGTTGTGCGGTGGAGATGGTGGGTTGTGCGGTGGAGATGGTGGGTTGTGCGGTGGAGATGGTGGGTAGTGCGGTGGAGATGGTGGGTAGTGTGGTGGAGATGGTGGGTACTGCGGTGGAGATGGTGGGTAGTGCGGTGGAGATGGTGGGTTGTGCGGTGGAGATGGTGGGTTGTGCGGTGGAGATGGTGGGTTGTGCGGTGGAGATGGTGGGTAGTGCGGTGGAGATGGTGGGTAGTGTGGTGGAGATGGTGGGTACTGCGGTGGAGATGGTGGGTAGTGCGGTGGAGATGGTGGGTAGTGCGGTGGAGATGGTGGGTAGTGTGGTGGAGATGGTGGGTACTGCGGTGGAGATGGTGGGTAGTGCGGTGGAGATGGTGGGTAGTGCGGTGGAGATGGTGGGTTGTGCGGTGGAGATGGTGGGTAGTGCGGTGGAGATGGTGGGTAGTGTGGTGGAGATGGTGGGTACTGCGGTGGAGATGGTGGGTAGTGCGGTGGAGATGGTGGGTAGTGCGGTGGAGATGGTGGGTTGTGCGGTGGAGATGGTGGGTAGTGCGGTGGAGATGGTGGGTAGTGTGGTGGAGATGGTGGGTACTGCGGTGGAGATGGTGGGTAGTGCGGTGGAGATGGTGGGTAGTGCGGTGGAGATGGTGGGTAGTGTGGTGGAGATGGTGGGTACTGCGGTGGAGATGGTGGGTAGTGCGGTGGAGATGGTGGGTAGTGCGGTGGAGATGGTGGGTTGTGCGGTGGAGATGGTGGGTAGTGCGGTGGAGATGGTGGGTAGTGTGGTGGAGATGGTGGGTACTGCGGTGGAGATGGTGGGTAGTGCGGTGGAGATGGTGGGTTGTGCGGTGGAGATGGTGGGTTGTGCGGTGGAGATGGTGGGTAGTGCGGTGGAGATGGTGGGTAGTGTGGTGGAGATGGTGGGTACTGCGGTGGAGATGGTGGGTAGTGCGGTGGAGATGGTGGGTTGTGCGGTGGAGATGGTGGGTTGTGCGGTGGAGATGGTGGGTTGTGCGGTGGAGATGGTGGGTAGTGGGGTGGAGATGGTGGGTAGTGGGGTGGAGATGGTGGGTAGTAGAGCAGAATCCAAGCTACCATGGTGGTTCATGTTGCATGTCCATCTAATTGTCATACATGCCTTCCCTCTGTCTCCTCCTGCCTACAGATACCCTCAACTTTCATTGCTCTCTCTTTTTCCATCCATCACCCCTCTTGTCTTCATTGCTCCAGTTTCATCGTCCCTCCCATTGCGTTGCGTTGCGCCCTTCGTTTCTCCTTGCATTTCCAATTCTCATTGCATCGCCCTTCATTGCGATGCCCTCCTCCCTTTCCATTTCTCACTCCCATTTCTCACTCTCACTCTCTCTCCAGGCATCGCTGACATCGTGGGACGGAGAGTAGGTTCCGCGAAGCTGCCATGGAACGACCAGAAGAGCTGGGCAGGGAGCATCGCGATGCTACTCTTTGGATATGGCCTCGCCCTCTTGTGCGTGCTTGCTGGCTTTGTATTCTACATGTGTGCTTGCTTGCTTTGCCTTGCTACCTGCGTGCTTGACGATTTGCTTGCATGCAACCAGCATCGCCATGCTGCTCTTTGGATATGGGCTCGCCCTCGCGTGCGTGCTTGCATGCATGACTGTCTTGCTCATTGTTTGGCTCTGATAGCGAATGTTGCGCTCTGATTGCATGCTAGTACCACATTGCTTTCCTTCCCTATCCACCATCCTCCTCCTCTCTCCTTCCTCATTGTAGCTTGTAACATCTCCCCATCCTAAGCATTTTTCATCTCCTCCCTTCTCCCACCCTTCCCCCACTCACACTGCCCTCCTTTTGCTTGTAACAATTCCCCTTCTTCATCCTATCAGCACTATTCACCTCCACCCTTTCCCTCACCTCCCTTCCTCATTTTGGTTTGTAACATCCCATCAGCACCATTCATCTCTTCACAGCAGCAGGATTCTACTCCTCTGATTGGCTGCTGCTGCCGAACCTGCCTCTCCGAGTCTTCTTGGTCAGCCTCGGAGCTACAGTGGTGGAGTCTCTTCCAATCAGCGATAAGCTGGACGACAACCTCACTGTACCGCTCTCCACCGTTCTGTTTGGCATGCTACTGCTGCAACTGTGATGATACCCAAGGCACCTAACCTAACACAAACAGACACTGAATAAACATAATCACAGCAACCCCAACAAATTCCAAGTTATTATTCCCTTTAAATTACTGTAGCAGTACAACCATAGCTGGGTGCATGCATGCACAGCACACTGCGAGGGCAGGTGTTCAGTTAGGGTGCTAGTGTAAGGTATTTTGATAAATTGCAGCCCATTTTTTCTCATGACTAAATTCTTTCACCCCGGCCACAACCAATGCCAAACCCAAAGTCGGGCCCCTGGTGGTGGCCTTTCTTTAGCCGAAAGCTTCAGTGAGTAGTGTAAGAGAGGTGTAGTTTGTTGCGATGGGGAGTGCATTGCAGTCTGATTAGGCTGAATGCTGCACTCAACCATTGCTAACTATCCTTATCACTTCGACAGCTCAGCTTCCAGCCTGGCAACCTCCTCACTCAGCGAATCCAAGAACCCGGGGTACTCCCCCATCTTCTGCTGGTACTTGGCAAACGACTCTTCTGCTTTCTTCAGTTCCTTATCCACGCCCTGGTAGGAGGCATGGGGTGGGGCGGGAGAGAGGGGAATGGGGGAAAAAAGGGGGAAGAGAATAGCTATTCTGCTGGTACTTGGCAAATGCTTCAGCTTTCTTCAGCTCCTTGACCACGCCCTGGCAGGAGGGGGATTGCAGGGAGGCATGGGGCAGGAGGGGGATTGCAGGAAAATGGAGGTTGGTTGGTGGTGAGGACGGAAGGGGGTGGAGCCAACTCGGGGGTCATGGTATGGGGTTGAAAAATCATTGTCTCAGCTGTTGTCATATCCAAATTCGAACAAGTGGACAAGTAACTTGTAGCCACCGAGCCGGACTGCAGAGCCTCGGCACCTTCATAACCCGCCGAGCCGGACGCACGCACCTCTTTGGCTTTGGCGGTCGGTTCCTAGCCGACTGAGCTCCATCACCCTTGAGAACGTTTCTCAGAAACACTGGCTTCTGCAATTCCAACCCTCGGATTTAACGGCAGCGCAAGCAGCATGTACCTTCTTGGCTTTGGCGGACAGCTCCTTGCCATCCTTGTCATGCGTGGGCACGCCCTTGTCATCCCACGCACTGTACTTGTCAACCGCCTTCCGAAAGATGTCAGAGGGAGGCACGGACGCTGATTGCCACCGCTCCAAGTCTTTCAGCTGTGGTGCACGAACGAAGGGGATACAATACAAGACCAAATGATCTTCTTGCCATCCTTGTCACGAGTGGGCACACTCTTGTCATCCCATGCGCTGTACTTGTCAGTCGCTCTTCCATAAGATCTGCGCAGGAGGCAGAGACGCCGACTGCCACCGCTCCAGGTCTTTCACCTGTGGGGGAGAAGGGAGGGAGATACAAGGGGGAACGAGACGGGAAAGGGCATTGGAGCTATCAATAAACAGCCCAGCTTCACCAGCGCTGCCTCCCTATCTCTCCTTCCCTCCCTGCAGTTCCACTCTTACCCTTCACCCAGACCCCACCGCAGGCCCCCCCACCTCTCCCCCGGTAACACATTCACTTCACCCCAGTTTACGCTTCCCCTCCCTCACCTTAGCAGCCAGTTTCGTCTGCAGTTTCCGCTTGGCCTCAGCAGCAGCCTTGGCAATCCGCTCGTCCCGCTCAGCTCGCAGCACCTTGGGATCATCCAGCTTCACCACCGCTGCCTCCCCTCCTCTCCCTCCCGTCCTGATACCAGGTTCACCCGAGCACGTCTCACCTTGGCTGCCAGTTTCGTCTGCAGTTTCCGCTTGGCCTCAGCAGCAGCCTTGGCGATCCATTCATCCCGCTCAACCCGCAGCACCTTGGGATCATCCAGCTTCACCACCGCTGATCCCCTCCTCTCCCTCCCACTCCCCACCCCGCACCCCTACCGCCCCATTTCAACCAGAATCTACTGGCTACCGCTGCCTCCCCCATCTCCCCCCTCCCCACACCGTCACCCCAGTTCACCCGAACCCGAGCACTTCTCACCTTAGCAGCCAGTTTCGTCTGCAGTTTCCGCTTGGCCTCAGCAGCAGCCTTGGCAATCCGTTCATCCCGCTCTGCCCGCAGCACCTTGGGATCATCCAGCTTCACCACCGCTGCCTCCGCCCCCGCGCCGCCCCGGTCCTCACAGCGAATCCCAAGGTCCACCATCGCATGGTCCCTCACTTTGTCAGTTAGCGACAGCAACTCATCCTGAACATAACACCAGCGCATCAACATCAGGGGTGGGGAGAGAGAAAAGTTACAGTCGATCCGCGCTGCCCCACCGCGGTCCTCGCAGCGAATCCCAAGGTCCACCATCGCAACCCATGGGATGAGGCGAATCATGAGTCAACACTCACCTTCACTGCCCTTCTCTTTCTCTTGAGCAAGGATCCGTGGGACCTCACGAGGTCGTGTATGGTCCAGCCAGCCAGACTTCTCATATTCTGGTCCTCTCATCGCATCTCACCTTGGTTGCGTTTCTCCGCACTGCTGCCCGCACATCGTCACGGAACGTTGAGAAGCCTTGAATGTAGGGCACCTGGGTTGAGGGGAAGTGGGAGGGAGGAGAAGGGGTTGAGTGGAGAGGGGAAAGAATAGACCGAATTGACATGGGGTTAGAATGACAGGGGGTATACGAAGTAAACAGCAACATGATGTGTGCACTTATGCATACACACATATACGAATAAAAAGATGTGTACACCCTTTACTCACCACGATGGCCTCTTTGGATTGCTCGCCCTGAGCCCCTGCTGCCGCTCCTCCTGCTGTCATGCCAAACGAATCCAGACTCGAGTCCAGCAGACCTGCAGCACGGCCAGTCGACACACACACGCACACATACACGCACACACACATGCACACACACATGCACACACACACGCACACATACACACACACATACACGCACACATACACGCACACACACATACACACACACATACACGCACACACACACACATACACGCACACACACATACACACGCACACACGCACACACACACACGCACACACGCACACATACACACGCACACACGCACACACACACACGCACACACGCACACATACACACGCACACACGCACACACACACGCACACACACACACGCACACACGCACACACACACACGCACACACGCACACACACACAGGTTTACACGTATATTACGAGGAGACAGTCCCACTGTACAGCTGCATCTGAATTTCGAGAAGAGTGCCAGAGTGCCACGGGTAGGGCACTTTTGAGAACTCTCGAAAGTGACTCCAACATAGCTCCCGAAAACAGAGAGATCAACTACTAGACTCAGCAGGCTAGACAAAGAAGCAACGTTTTGCAGATCAAGCATGCATAGCATGCATAGTCATAGACATGCCTCTGCCATAGACATAGCAAGCAGAGGCAGGGCCATGCATGCCTCCGAGACATCTTTTCCACCGATTCAGAGATAAACATCCATGTATAAACGCACATACCAAAGATCTGCAGGATCCGGGAAACAAACTGGGCGGCGGACTGCAGCAGGAGGGGCCGTGGCCGGCGTTTTTTGGCGGATGTGTCTTTGAGGTACACGTTGGTGGCTGAGATGAGGTCGAAGAGCGCTGCTATGGCTCCCGCTGTGTCAAAGTTGTCCTCCAGACGAGCACGGACCTGTGAGGAACGATGCAGAGTGGTGGGGAGTGGTGGGGAGTGGTGGGGAGTGGTGGGGAGTGGTGGGGAGAAGGGGATGAGGAGAGATGAGGTCAACAAGTGCTGTGATGGCGCCAGCTGCAGGGTCAAAATTGCCCTCTAGACAAACATTGATAAACCCTTGCTTCTCTCCGTCATGCACGCACCACTCACCATCTTCACTGCATGCACGCACCACTCACCATCTTCACTGCATGCACGCACCACTCACCATCTTCACTGCATGCACGCACCACTCACCATCTTCACTGCATGCACGCACCACTCACCATCTTCACTGCATGCACGCACCACTCACCATCTTCACTGCATGCACGCACCACTCACCATCTTCACTGCATGCACCACCACGCACCCCGCCGCGTAGAAAAGGTCGATTTAGTTGAGTAAAACATTCATAGACCCTTGCCAATTTGTCACGCACGCACCATTCACCACCCTCGTGCACCACCACGCACCCCAGCCACTTTTTGTTTGAGTTGGTCAGCTCAACCCACTTGAGAATTTTTGTTTGAGTCAGTCAGCTCAACCATCCACCCACCACGTACCTCAGCCTGTGCGGTAGCCACAGCAGCGTTCAGAGTCTTCTCCAACTCGCTCCATGCCTCCTCCACTCCCTCGCTCACACACACTCTGTCACTCGCGTCCTCCCTCTCACTCTCTGCAGCAACCACGCACCTCAGCCTGTGCTGTAGCCACAGCAGCGTTGAGAATCTTCTCCAGCTCGCTCCACGCCTCCTCGCCCTGCTCGCCCTGTAAGTGACCAGCACAGACCGGCATATTGAAATGTGCGGTTTGAAAAAACGGCAGATATGAAGAGCGGGCACCATGGGTGAAACGACTTTTGAGTCCACTCAGAAAGCGAACAAGGAAACATGGGTTTGAATTTTTTTGGCGCCTCAAAAACCATGGGTGAAACGACTTTTGAGTCCACTCAGAAAGCGAACAAGGAAACATGGGTTTGAAAGAGGATGGCAAGGTTGGAAAGGAGGATGGGAAGAAGGAGAGGGAGGATATGTCGAAGGGGGGGTTGGGCAGGGGAAGCTGGGAGGAGGGTGGGTTAAAACCAGAATGCAAAATAGTGAACCCCATCCCAACTTGAAAATGAGTTTTTTGCTAAAGCCATTGAAGCGAGCGAGAACACTGTTTCAAACAACCCGTCCAAACAGATCGACCTTACGTGATTGGCTCCCGCCAAAACATATTTTGCCGCTTGTAGAAGGAGTCGCATTTGTAGACCTGCACGACGGTTGCACGATGATGGTTTCGATCGCTGGACCCAGCTTCAGGTTCAAGTTGTGCCTGGTTGATTGAGCTTGCTAGTTTCTACTCTTGAAGACTCTATTTTTCAGCCTAGCGTAGAATAGCTGAGAACCTAGACATTTTATGCCTAGGCGCATAGATTATGTTTTAGCTTGGATGCGTAATAATTTCGTAGAATAGCGATAGGTTTTTCCGCATGTCGCGCAATCGTCACATTCCCCGTCACAATCGGCCTCACTCTCCCGTCGCTGCGTCACTCTTTGCAACGTCGTCATCATGCTCGCAACGAAACGCCATCCCATCGCCCTCCTCTCTCCCGTCGCCTTTCCTCTCTCCCGTCGCCTTCCGCTCTCCCCTCGCCTTTCCTCTCTCCCGTCGCCTTCCTCTCTCCCGTCGCCTTTCCTCTCTCTCGTCGCCTTCCTCTCTCCCAGCGCCCTCCTCTCTCCCGTCGCCTTTCCTCTCTACCGTCACCTTCCTCTCTCCCGTCGCCTTCCTCTCTCCCGTCGCCTTTCCTCTCTCCCGTCGCCTTCCTCACTCCCATCGCCTTTCCTCTCTCTCGCCGCCCTACCTCCCTCCCGTCACCCTCCGTGTCGGCCTCCCATTGCTCGTACTGTCGCTCGTCCCGTCGCCCGTCCCATCGCACGTACCGTCGCTCGTCATGCTGCTCGTTATGAACAAACATCCGGTTCCAACGCCCTTACAAAATCCTCTGCCATCTCGTAGTAATATCGACCTTGCTATCCCGCTAATATAATAATAGGAAACTTAATTTCGTAAATAATTACCTCCCCTCCCGTCGTTCCACTTCTCTACCCTCCCCTCCCGCCGATCCCTCTTCAGGTCCTTGTTCCCGTTCCCTCGCTCTCTCCCGTCCCTTCCCGTCGCCCTCGCTCTCTCCCCTCCTTTTCCGTCGCCCTTGCTCTCTCCCCTCCCTTTCCGTCGCCCTCGCTCCACCTCATCTCACCCTCCCCAATGCCCCTCCCATCTCCCTACCATTCCGCGGATTTTGCTCACGCATCTCTCCTCTCGCGTCCTCGTTTCTGTTGCACTATCTGTCTCGTCTCTCGCCCCCTGAAATTCTCTGTTTTTTCGCTTCTTGTTTTTCCCATGATGTTATTGCCGCCCTAGCAGGCCCATGTCTAAGGCATTTGCTTTGCATGAGTTGGACTTGCTTAGCATGAGTTGGACATGCTTCACAATGTGAATCTGGCACTGGATGTGAATGAGACTTGCACGTCGCAAACTTTTGAGCGACGCATTTGCACATGCTTGCGACGATTTTTGTTTGAGAAGAAATGTGGAGACTCGATCAGTATCATATGCCCCTGAAAAAAAATACAGAACAGCACTTCAACTTTCAAGTGGACCCAAATAGAAGTGGGGGGTCACTATTTTAGCTGCTGGCTTTAATTGATAAGGGGGGAGCTGATTTGAAACGGTGTATACATTTTTTTACCCCATGCCAAAATATTAATCAATCTTCAATACCCTGTATGTGAGTTATGAGGCAAGTACTTGTACCCACCCAACTCAACCTCATCCCACCGTTTCATCTGCGCCGTAATTAGATGCCACCTCAACTCACCATATGACACCTCACTCCACGTCAGCATGACTCACCGCTGCCCGAATTTCAGCTTGAACGGTCTGGAAGAAGTTTCTGAGCTGCTTCTCCCTCCCCACAGCATCTGCCATCGCACCCTCCCCATAGTTGATTGGCTGATGGGCAGAAAGAAAAAATGGAAAGGGGGAGGAGGGAGAAAGGGAGGAGGGAGGATTGGAGGAGGATTAAAGCCTGTGAGAGGAGATGGGGCAGGGAAAGGAAGAGGTTTTTATGGGTTTGAAGGGACGGGTGAGGTGGAAGTAGTGGCAAGGGGGGCTGTGGTGTGCCATACTGACCTTGACACACACTGACTCACATTGACCCACGTCAAAACACGTTGACCCACATTGATCCCCGTTGACCCACCCACATTGACCCACGTTGACCATTACCTTGTCCCAGGCCTGCAGCAGGAAGAGCAATCTGAATTGGCGCGCACTGTACTTCTCCAGAGCCTGACGGTTCGGGTTGTTGGATAGATGGGTGAAAGAGAGTAGGGTAAGAATGAGCGATGCGACAATGGGGTGAGGGAGCGAGTAGCAGGAAGAGCAATCTGAAGTGGCGCGCATTGGTGCAGAGAGAAGTACTTCTCTCGAGCCTGAAGTTCGAATTGGTGGATAAGTGGGTGTGTGGGTTGGTGGATGAGTGGGAGGGTGGGTTGGAGGAAGGAGGATAAGAATAAGTGGTGATGGGATTGGGAGATACGAGAATAAGAATGAGCGGTGATAGGGCGGGGGAGCAAGCAGCAAGAGAAGCAAACTGATCTGGCGAGCACTGTACTTCCCTGGAACCTGCAAGGAGGTTGGTGGGTGGGATGGAGGATAAGGATGATTGGCGACGGGGTGAGGGAGCATGTACATTGCAAGAGCATGAGAGAGGGCATGGCACGTCACTGTGATGCTCCTAAGACTAGAGCACGCGCACAGAGTGAGAAGGCCCAGCCCAAGCAGCGACCCTTACCTGGCGGATGGTGATGAAGTTTTTGAGCGACTTGGACATCTTGAGGCCCTCGATGTGCAGATGGCCGGCATGCAGGAAGTAGTTCACCCACTGCCCGCACCCGTGAAACGCCTCCGCCTGTGCCAACTCGTTGTCGTGGTGGGGGAACCGAAGGTCGCTGGTGCATGGTGGAAGGGGAAGGTTGGGGGGTTTGAATATCGGGGAGGTGGGAGGGGGAAAGGGGGTGTGGCGTGGTGTGGATGGGGAGGGGTGCAGTGGAAGAGACGACAAGATTCTCTAAAGCTCGAGTGTGCAGCGTGCTTTGCTGTGATGTGCAGGTGGCCGGCATGCATTAAGTAGTTGACTCACTGCCTGCACCCGTAAAACGTCCCCCCCACACCCTTCCCCCTTTCCCTCTTCCCGTCTCCGATCTTTCCTCTTCCTACCCCCTACCCCCGTCCCCCCCTCGCCCTCCTTTCTTCCACAGCACCCACTCACATGCCGCCTGAGTGAATGTCCATGGGAAATCCAACGATATCTTTTGAGTCGTCTCAAAAGCCTGAGTGAATGTCCATGGGAAATCCAACGATATCTTTTGAGACGTCTCAAAAGCCTGAGTGAATGTCCATGGGAAATCCAACGATATCTTCATCAGCACCCCCCCACCCCCACCCTCCACACCCTCACTGCTCCCTCCCCTACCTCCCCTCCCTCCCCTCCACCACTCACATGCCGCCAGAGTGAATGTCCATGGGAAATCCAACGATATCCGAAGCCATGGCAGAGCACTCAATGTGCCATCCTGGCCGTCCATCGCCCCAAGGCGACGGCCACGATGGCTCCCCAGCCTTGCTGGCCTTCCACAGGGCGAAGTCGCTGCGGTTGCGCTTCTCTGACGTGGCAAAGTCTGATTCGCTCTCTGCTGCCAGCTCAGCACTGCCCACGGACCACGGGCACAGCTTCCCGTACATGTGGCCTGACTCCCTGTGGTGGTGGGGTGGCGGCGGGGGGGGGGGGGGGGGGGGGGGAGCAGGAGGAGGAAGCGGGATCGCGGAAAGGGGAGATTTGAAGGTAAGTGAAGGGAGAGGCAACAAGCAAGCATTGACCACTTACCACGAACACAGCTTCCCGTACATGTATCCTGACTCCCTGCAATGAGTGTGGGGAAGCGGGAGGAAGGAGAGGGGAAATGAGGGGGAGAGGAGAGGAGAAGGAGACACTCCTGTTAATGGGATACGCAAAGATTTTGGAGTCAAGTCACAAAACAGGCTATAGATCACACATACATACACACACGTCACCTCCACCTAGCGAACTCACTTGAAGGCCTTGGTGTCGAAGTAGACACTCCCGTTGATGGCATACGCTGAGCCTCTCAAGTCGACTCACATACAGTCGGCTCAAGTAACAAGCTAGAAATCACATCACTGCCACCTAGGCTTGAGCAAATTCACGAACGCCTGTTCGGTTCGCCTTTTTTCGCCTAATTCGTTCGGGGCGAACGTGTTCGGTGTTCGGCCGAACACGTTGGCCGTTCGCCAATGACATTTGGCCGTGGCGGGTCGAACACGAACATGTTCGTGTTCGACGGGGGGGGGGCGACGAACACCAATCTGTTCGTCGACAAAATTGGCCGCGACCGAATTTAGGTCGCGGCCGTTTAGAGTTTGAGCTCATTACTCGAGCTCAAACTCAAAACGACTTTAGCGCTTAGCCCTCCCTCCCACAACCGCCATAGCCTTGCAGTTTTAAGAGCCACCGCACACCATTCCTGAACTTTTACACGGACATTTCCTCTAACTAGTCCGTAGTTTGGGGTAATTTCTTCAACATTAAGGTTGGTAGCTAGAGGATCAAGCTTGGAGCGGTCAATTCTCTAGTAGAAGGGGCGGGCTTTTCTCCATGCCGCACGTAACTAGGAGGTCAATTAGGACCGTGCTATCCGTGGCACGCGACCGTTACTTTGGGGTTTAGGGGTTTTAGAGCCGAGGGGGTGGATTTATGGCTTCCGGCCAACAAGGATCTGCAGAACGAGGTGCAAGCATTATTCAAGGCGGTACACCAGGTTCTCCACCACGACCTATGCAGGGGCGAGTAGGGGACGGACCTGCAGGAGCCGGTGCTTGTTTCGTCGGGGGATTTCTTTCCGTAGCGGCGCCGACATCCCGTCACTCGTTCCGTTACACTGGCGCTCGACCCCCTCCTTCTGGGCAGACGCAGCCGGAGAGTGGCAGTGAGGAGGAGGATGACGAGGAGGAGGGTGAGGGCGAGGAGGATGAGGACGATGAGGGGAGCGGGGATGACAGTGAAGCCGGGTGGGACCCCGAGACACATGGCGGTGGGGAAGGGGGGGGTGATGATGAAGACCACGAGATGGATGGGTTGGAGCCAAAGGAGGTGGAAGAGGAGGTGGGAGAGGGTGGTGGAGGGGCGGCGACAGAGGCGGCCTCACAGCATGTGGCTGAAGGAGGAGGGGGCGTGGGGGTTAAGGTGGGGAGAAAGCGGGCGTCCATTGCAGGGCCGAAGCGGAGGAAGAGGGCGAACAAGTTGAGGCCGCGAGCGTATCCCTGCACATTCACTGGGGAGCCCTTGGCAGAGGGTGTGATCGCTCCGGAGTTTCTTGACGAGGACGGAGGGTCCGAGAGTAGTAGGGGGACTGGTAAGGGTAATAAGAAACCGGGGTGGCAAGTACAGATGTTCGGGCCTAAAGGGTCAGACGACAAGCGTCAGTGCAAGATGTGCACTGACAGGATTTTGTGGAAGCTATCCACAACAACACCCGGCGAGCGTCACTTCGAGAGCTTCCACACAGCTCACATGTACGTGTGGCATCACCGTTACCACACTCCGTCCGTTCACTTGCCTGGCGAGACTTTTCCTCGAGGGGGCTACGGGGGGGTGCCGGATGGCTACGTTGAATCAGTGTTGTATGTTAAGTGCTAGCCGAATCTCGCAAAGAAGAAAGGGAAGGCGTCCGGGGGAGCTCAGGGGTCAGGCGGGATCGAGCGGTTCATGACAACCAAGCTGTCCATGGTGGAGCTACGGCAGGCGATCGCCAAGCTGGAGGTCACCTGCGACCTCCCCTTTCGCATCGTCGAGGCCGAGGCGGTGAGTGTCACATGCATGCTGTATGAGGGGATTGGGCAGTATGTGGTGGACTGTTTGGTGTTTCTTTTGTAAACGTGTGTCAATTTGTCTCAAATCCATCTCTTTGCCTTTGAAAACACTCTCTCTCATTGTCTCCACCCCCTCGCGTTGGACGGTATCCCGCGACACCGTGGTCTTTGTAGCAGCCGCTCTCCAGTCCGCCATTGCGGAGATGCTGGCGAAGGAGGGGGAGTTGGGGTGCAAGGTGTCGTTCACCATCGACATGTGGATGGCACCCAACGGCAAGGCATGGCAAGTGGTGACGGATCACTGGATAGACGAGAACTTCAAGCTGCGCACAGCGGTACTTGAGTTCCGCGAGATGCTCGAGCGTCATGGGGGCAAGGAGATGGCACAGGTGGTAGAGGAGACGGTTGTGCAGTGGGGGTTGGAGGGGCGTTGTCTTGGTCTCACGACAGACAACGCCTCTAGCAACATTGCCGCCTTCAGGCGGATGTCGGAGGAGGGTGGTGGTCAGTGCTTCTTCAACTCGCGCATGCACTTTCGGTAAGTGTGGGAGTGTGCGTGGGTTGGGTGTGTGAGAGTGTGGGTGTGTGTGTGCCTTTGTGGGTGTGTCGATCCACCAAAGACAATGTGTAGGTGTATGGGGGAGTGGGGCGGTGCGGTTCTAGTTGGAGGGTGTGTGGGGTCTGGTATGGGTTTGTGGCTCGCACTGACCATGTGTCCTCACACTTCCCCTCCTATTTGCCACTAATGTTGTGTTCCGCGCGCAGGTGCTTGGCACACGTGATTAACCTTGCAGTGCAGGCAGCGCTGTCTGTGGAGGCCATACGGAAGTTGTTGAAGATACTGAGAGAGATGGCGTCGTGGATTGGATTCTCGCCGCAGCGCTCGGGGTCGTTCTTGGGCCTCCAGCGGACCTTGAACACGCAGGCCAACCCCGCCAAGCCGAAGCCGGTATTTAAGCTGGTGCAGGACAGTCCTACGCATTGGGGGTCGACCCACGATATGGTTGAGCGAGTGGGTGTTCTGCAGAACCCCATCACAGTCTTCTTTGCCCAGACACAGGTATGACATGTGGTGTGTGTGGGTTTTACTCTGTGGGTTTGTCAGGGTGTGTTAACACTTCCACTCAATGCTGTTGGTCAAGCTTGTATGTTGCCGGAAGCCAAAATCCTCCATAACCCCAGTTTCCCTCTTACCTCCCCCCAAACCATACCCTCTACCCAACAGGGCTTGTCGAAGGCCGACAAGAAGGTGGAGAGCATGCGCCTGACACACGCAGACTGAGAGATTTCTGCAGGCTGTGAAGACATTCCTCAGCCCCTTCGCCCAAGTCTCAAAGGTAGCTGAGGGGACGGCGTACCCGACAGTGGCGATGATGGTGCCGTACTACAACGGCCTAATCGACGCCATGGAGACGCGCCTTGCCAAGGGGCCATTTGCTACGCTGCAGCCGATGATCGTGGCGGCGCTGGGCCGCTTGAAGAAGTACGCCTACATCGCCAGCAACGAGTACTGGATCGCCACCTTCTTGGACCCATCCATGAAGGCGGCGTGGTTCAACGACGCGCACTGGGAGAAGCTGCATCCCGAGACCGACAGGAGGGTGAGGCCGCGTCCCGCGTCTGGCGAGGTGATCAAGCTGGTACGCGACCGCGTGGCCGAGTACCAGGCCCGGGCTGCAAAGCTTGCTCCCCGGCCGACCCCACTTGCCCCCGTTGCGGAGGAGGAGGGAGACGAGGTGGATGACGACGATGAGGCGCATGGCCCGGGATTATCTCGCCATCCCTGCCACGTCCGCTTCGAGCGAGCGTGTGTTCTCTCTTGGTCGCAACCTCATCTCCTGGAAGCGGCACCGCCTGGGCACTCAGAGGACGCGAGCTGTCATGATTCTCATATCATCGTATAGTTCACACCCTGCTCATCCCTACTGCCACCCAGCAGGCTCACTTGAAGGCCTTGGTGTCAAAGTAGACACTCCCGTTGATGGCATACCAAAGACGTCAGAGTCGACGCACAAATAGGCGCCTCAAAACGAGCTACAATTCACACACACACACACGTGCCTACCACCAGGCCACCTAGCAGGCTCACTTGAAGGCCTTGGTGTCAAAGTAGACACTCCTGTTGATGGCATACCAAAGACGTCAGAGTCGACGCACAAATAGGCGCCTCAAAACGAGCTACAATTCACACACACACACACACACACACACGTGCCTGCCACCAGGCCACCTAGCAGGCTCACTTGAAGGCCTTGGTGTCAAAGTAGACACTCCTGTTGATGGCATACCAAAGACGTCAGAGTCGACGCACAAATAGGCGCCTCAAAACGAGCTACAATTCACACACACACACACGTGCCTGCCACCGGGCCACCTAGCAGGCTCACTTGAAGGCCTTGGTGTCAAAGTAGACACTCCCGTTGATGGCATACCGAAGACTTTAGAGTCGACGCACAAATAGGCGCCTCAAAACGAGCTACAATTCACACACACATACACGTGCCTGCCACCAGGCCACCTAGCAGGCTCACTTGAAGGCCTTGGTGTCAAAGTAGACACTCCCGTTGATGGCATACCAAAGACTTCAGAGTCGACGCACAAATATGCGCCTCAAAACGAGCTACAATTCACACACACACACGTGCCCGCCACCAGGCCACCCAGCAGGCTCACTTGAAGGTCTTGGTGTCAAAGTAGACACTCCCGTTGATGGCATACGCGCAACCATTCTTAATTATCGTGTCCACATAGTTGACAATTGCGTTGATGTACCTGGGGGGGAGAGGAGAGTGTGGGGAAAAGGGAGGGGAGCGGAGGGGGGAAAAAGGACGTGGGGGATGAACGGACGGGACAGATGGGGAGCAACAGGATGGTGAGTTTGCAACGCATCAGAACTCGTCCATGCACCGGGGGAAGGACGGGAGGTATAAGGAGGGAGAGATATAGGGGCCGTTAAGGGATGAGTGCGCGGTGAGGGAGGCAGCAAGAGGTGACAAAGCCAAACAGATTGCCCGCCTTGATGCAATCGGCACGAACTTATTCTGAAAAAAAATGTAATGTCAGTGATCTTGGTTGGTTTAAACATACGTATTCCAGAAACCATGTCATCTCAGCATGTACTCTGTAACCCGTGTCATCTCAGCACATACTCTGTAACCCGTGTCATCTCAGCACGTACTCTGTAACACGTGTGAGCACGTGAGGTGGCCGCACTCCCAGCGCCTTCATATCTTCAAAGAACTCCACTTCATACCTGTTATAAGGGTTTTGGGTACAAACGTGAAAAACATCAAAATGGGACGATTTACGAATGAAGTCACAAGAAATGGGACGGGAAGCAACAGGAAACTTCTTCACTCACTCACTCTCTCACTCACTCACTCACTCACTACACTCACTCACTCACTTGGCAGCGAGGCGTCTGAAGATGGACACATCAGTGACAGTCGCTTTCAGCTTCGCATCCAACGACGCTGCCAGTGCATCTGCTGCCGCCTCTGCTGCTATCTTGTCACCCTCTGCTGCTTCACCTCCTGCTGCTTCCCCACCTGCTGCTGCTGCAACCCCATCTGCTGTGGCTGCAGCCCCATCGGCTGCTGTGCCATTAACTCGTGCCTCGTCACCCACCGCTCCCTCCTCCTTCGCCTCCACCTCCTCTGCCCGCCTCCCCAGCAGAAGAGACACTCCTCGCCGCCCGCCAGCCGCCACGCACGCCGGGCCCAGCCGCTCCAAGACAACCTTAGCCGCTCCTTCCAGCTGCTGCAGTTTAAGCTCCTCCTGTGCGGCCTGCTGCAGCAGCGTCTCCTTCTTCTTCTCGTTGCTCTCCCCCTCTGCTGTCTTCTTCAACCCCTCTACCACACCCCGTTGCTTCTCCACTGCTGCTCCCAGCGCTGCTTGTGTGTCAGCCAAGACCTGGACATGGGAAGGGGGGAGAGGGAAAGAAGGAGAGGAGCAGCTTGAGTTCCTCCTGAGCTGCCTGCTGCAGCAGCGACTCTTTTTTCTTCAATCTGCCGTCTGCTGTAATCCCTCCATGACTCCGCTCTGCTTCTCCACTGCTGCTCCTACCGCTGCTTGTGTCTCTGCCACGACCTGGACTTGCGAAGGGGAGAGGAAAGGGTTGTGGGAGGGAGGAGGATGGAGAAGAGAAGTTTTAAGATGATCAGGAAAATGAAAGGGAGAGACTGAATCGAAAGAGGCTGAATGACAGAGATGATTGCCAAGCACGGCAGGATATGGACGTGGCGCGGCAAGATTGCCTATCTAAAGGACATCTGGGAAAAGAAATAAGAAGTGTTTTGAGACGTCTAAAAACATTTCTTATTTCACGTGGCAAGATTACCTATCTGAAAGACATCTGGGACGGGAAGGTAGCTCACCTGCGCGGCATCTGACGTGGCATGGAGATACTGCTTGATGAGGTAATCCTTCCTGGCCCTTACGATGATCTTATCGTCCACGTCAGTAACGTTCATCACATAGAACACGTCATACCCGAAATAGTCCTGCTTGGTACAAGCAACACAAAGACAGCAGAGAAACAAAAACAGGCTGAAATCAACGGAATCAACAACTCACAACCAAGAAACGCGTGTGACTGAAAGGAACTAAAGACACTCGAGAATGCGGGAACTAGTCACCTCGAGAATGCGGCGGATAATATCGAAGGAGAGGTACGTTCGCGCGTGGCCGATGTGCGACGAGTCGTACACTGTAGGACCGCAGATGTACCACGTGACTGTAACGAGAGGGAGGGGGCGGAAATATCTAAAAGACCAATCCCGAGAATTGAAGGGTTTGCACGGAATACCAATAAACGCCACGACGATTGCAAAAGTCCGATGCGATGGCTTATTCAATCCAGCCAATGATCTCGATTCGCGTTAATGACGGATCCACTAACCCCCAGCATGCCTTTCGTAAATGCTAGATCGTCTGGTTTCGCAATGGCGGCCGGACCTACCTCGTCGTCCGTTTTGCGGAACGAACGGCACTTTCTCGTTGCACAGGCTGTTATTTACACGCAGACCACCACCACTACTACCGCCGCTACTCCCTCCCGCTTTCCCGTCAGCGCCACCTCCCGGAGGAGTCCATCGCGCGCCGAGCTGACCTGGCGCCGCCTCTGACGCCATCGCGAGTGTTCCCGCGATGCTGCGTTTACAGGATCTGAGCTACTCGGTCACGCACACTAGAAAGAAATCGATCGTGGGTCAACCCTGAAAGTGCCGAGCTGAGCAACAGAGGAAAAGCTTCCTCGAGAAATGGGATGCATGAAAGCGTTTGGCATGGGACTTGTGGTTACAACTTCGGACCTTCCGAAGTTACGAGCGAGTTCGAGGCTGTTATTTTTTCGCAAAAGCAGATTGCGAATGAACGAAGGCGTTTCTCGCACCGTGGTTGGTTGGGTGGCTTCACGAGAAAGCCTGCAAAGTTGGCAGTGACCCCGTTGGAGTCTCTCGTGTTTTGCCGCCAGATTCTAGTAGCAGTTTTTGCCTAACTGGACTTGAAGGTCAGTACTCTTAAAGCGACGGTGCACATTTGCCACCCAAAACCCAGAACCCTGGCGAACTGTTACTGCGGATGGAAAGTGTCCGCACGAAATCCTGGTTTTCGCCAGCCAGCACTTTCGCGCTGGCAAGCCTGGTTCAAAAAAAAAACTTCTGAACCCAACACTGCCAAAAGTTGCCCGTCGCTTCTTGCTGTTAGGCAGACGAGATTTTTAGGTATTCCTTGACGTCGTCAACGTCAACGCTTCAGCTCACCGACCGACCCACCCACCTACCAAACCACTTCAGCTTCAGGAGGCACTCTCTTCGTTGTGTCGTGTTTCTGCTGCATCAAATGCAGAAGGGAACTGATCAGAATGGGGCCCCAGAGCTCTAGAAAAGTTGCGCTCGTCTGGTAACGTAAGTGTGGGTTTAGAACTTACATTTGCGCGGGACATTATCATTTTCACACCTGATTGAACCACACAGGTGACTTTCCGACGTAGGGCGACAAATTAGTTACCGAACAAGTTCCGAATACGTTTGAACACTAGATCTTCCTGATTGTACCCGCTAAAATGCACCATCATAATATGTCTAGACGTACGCCCTCCTACACTTTTGACAGCACCTGCACACAGACAGCGCTCGATTTGGTGCTCCAAGAAACCTAGGGGTTGTTACATTGGGCGCTGGTCCATTTACACGGAAATGGACCAGCGAAAGCGAGAGAGTACCAGTTTACCGGGACCACTTGCAAAAGTGGTCCGGGCCTGGTACCCGCGTGGTACCGGGGACCATTTGCAGCGGACCCAAGCACAGTGCTTAACATTTCGCAAATGCAAGGTGAACGAAAAACTTGTCGCACCCTGTCACACCTGAAATCATTTTCGCATGTGAATCTGGAAGGTTTAGCGACATGAAGTTTTCGCGAGTGCCTGGGCCGCGAATTGGTGTGGACTGTTGGAAGTGATCTCCCACACCCTGTACGTGCGCCGACCACTGTACATGCAGGTCCGTGGGTGGTGCAACCTGGGTCACCACCTGGGCCGTTTGCTGGTCCAAACAGCTGGTCCATGTTGGTCCGCGCTGGTCCGTGCGGATTCCTGGGCCGCAGCGGCCCAGCGCGGCCCATCGTATTTCTTGCGCACATGTACGTCCCCTAGGTTCGTTCCTAGAGCCTGGAGGAATTGCGGAAACTGGAGTTTGGTTTGGACTGATGTATGAAAGAGTTGAGCGTGGAACTTGTGGTTACACCTTGGACCTTACGAGCGAGTTCGGGGCTGTGTTATTTATTTCGCCACCAACAGACTGCGAATGAACGAAGGGGTTTCTCGCAGCGTGGCTGGTTGGGTGGCTTCACGATAAAAGCCCACAAATTCGCATGGTAGTAACCGTTGGAGTATCTCGTGTTTTGCCGCCAGATTCTACTAGTTTCAGCCAAACTGGACTTGAAAGTCAGTACTCTTAAGTGCGGCAAGTCTCTTATGTAAACGTGGGTGCGACAAGCGGATCACAAGGATGGCCTTATGAAGTAGGGCGACACACAAGTTACCACAAGAATTTCAAATAAGTTGGAACACTAGACGTTCCTGATGATACCCGCTAAAATACACCATCATATTATATATAAACCTACACCCTCCTACACATTTGACAGCACCTGCACACAGGATGTGGTCGATTTGGCTGTGCTCCAACAAACCTAGGGTTCGTTCCTGACTATCAAACTACCAGCCTTCCTGGCTCAACATCATTCCCAGATTTCTTCTCGATACCTTCAGAATCGCTTCTGTGGTGATGTTGCTTCCCTAACAGCTGGTGCTTCTATATTTCTTTAGCGGGCGGTGTTGCTTCATTCGCCCATAAAAAGTCTCCCTTCGGAGAGACCAATGCGTATCCCTTTCAGCAGCCCGTTCATTCCCTTCGCTCTCACACGCCGTGTCGTTCGAGAATCGACGAGGAGGACGACGAGGAGTAGGAGGACGACGATAACACCCATCCACCCATCCGTATTGCGACGCCATGGTCGCGCAAGCGCACCTTCATGATGGTCTGGAGAGACGCAGGCAACATAGCAAGCATCTACGTTGGATTCAAATTCTGAGAATCCTCGAAACGAGCGAAGGCTACGATACGATGGTTCACCATGTCGACGCTTTTCCAAGGCAGAGCAGCGGTTGTTTCGCAACAACAGCAGCGAGAAGGCCGATGTTACCCGACGCCACGAAACCAGACTGTCACGCCAGACCAATTTCGCGTTCCTCGTCGTCCCACACCCCCATGCCACTCGATTCTGCTGCTGCAGAGATAATCAGTCGGGTTCTGATGCTCTAGGCCCATCTGTGAAGCGTGGATCTCTGTAGGACGGAGTCCGTCCATCTAGGCCCATCTGTGAAGCTTAATCGATCATCCTATCGTCGTCAATTAAGCTGGAGATTATCGTCGGTTCATCATGGCCGTCCATCCCAATCACCAGCACCACCATCTCGCCGCCTCTCGCCTCCATCACGGTCGCCGCGTCTCCCCGTCCTCCCAGGCCTTCCTCCTCTCCTTCCTAGCAGCTTCCTCTGTCGTTGCCCTGGCAGTATTGTTCACGGCGTGTGTGTCGCTGCGTACCGTTTGGTCGATCTCGTTACAAGCATTCTCGTTACAAACATCTGAAACGGAACCGTTCGCTGAGGGGATAGTTTACAGCGGCGAATCGCTGGCGTTGAGGGAAGCTGTTGCCAGTTGGCGGTCGCGAGTGGTGTACCATGTGAGTGATGTTACGGTGTTACCATGCGAGGCGTGTCTGTGTTACAGTGTGACTGGTGCTACGGTGTTAGAGTGAGACTTGTGCGACTGTGTAACATTGTAATGGATCACCTATTGTCTAATGCGTGCATCAACCTCTCTCCCCCTCTTCCTCCTCCCCCCTTCCCTCTTCTCCCCTGTTCCTATAAAATTGTGTGCCTCCGTGTTTTGGGACGTTAGGGTCTCATAACACCTCTTTTCCGATACCTGCATCACATCACCCTCTCTCCCCCTCTCTTCTCCCCCCCTCTCTCTTCCTCTTCTCCCCCACTCTCTCTTCCCCTCTACCCCTCTCCCGCTCTCTCTTCCTTCCCCTCCGTCTCCCCCTCTGTCCCCGCTTCCGACCCCCTCTCTCCTTCTCCCTTCCCTCTCTTCCCTCACTTCCCTCTCCCGCACCACTTCCACCAACCAGGTATTTGTTGACAGATTCGCTCCTCCCAAGCCCATTCTATCTGAACAACAGTGTGCTACCCTCTCTGACTATTGCGGTAATCCCAACCCCAGTGCAGCTGTGCTCTAACTATTTGTGGTGATCTTATCATTTGCTTTCTTCTGCAGCAATTACCCCTGCTCTCCTGCTATTAATAGATGATTACTGCTCGCTCCCCTTTCACTGCTCCCCTACAACCCCTTTAACCGTAATCACCCTTTCACTTCAGCCTCATCAAGCCGCCACGTGGCTGGCTCATCGAGTCTGTTAAATGAGGCGTGATTTAAATTGTCTCAAAACTCATTGAGCCTGTAATTTGAGGGCCTCTAAAAGCTGCCACGTGGCTCTGCTCATGGAACCACCCCCCCCCCCCCCCCCCCCCCCCTCCCCCCCCCGCCCCCCCCGCCCCCTCCCGCCCAATCTCACCGCCCATGCTTTTGTCTGTTAAATCCCGCTTTGCCTTACCACGTGGGTGCAGGAGGAACGTTCACGGGGATGAGGCAGCACTTGCCCTGTGAGTGAGTAGTATCTTAGTCTACATAGTTATGCCCGTTGGTAGATCTAGAATTCTCTAGAAAGCACTCTGCCTGTTTTCGCACTTGGATGATTCCGGACCGCATTAGCAAGAGGCAGAGGAAATAAAGAAAGCTTAAGAATGGGGTGGGGGCTTTAGTCCAAGCTGGGGGGCTTTAATCCAAGCTCTTGAGTTGCTGCGATCTGGGGTTTTTTTTAGAATTCTCAAAAACACCCTACATCACCGGGGGCTTTAATCCAAGCTCTTGAGTTGCTGCGATCTGAGAATGGGTTACAGAGAATCTGGCAGAGCTGCATGTATCTTCCCTTTTTTTCATTCTCCCCGTCGCCCTTCTCCTCTCTTCCCACTTCCTCTCCTCCCAACCCCCCTCCGCTAACCAGACATCCGAGGCATGGGCTTTGACGCACTGCTGATCGGCCCAGTAACAGTCAACAGCCCCTATGGTTACCACGGCTACTGGCCTCGTGGCTTTGCCATGCCTCGTGGTGCAGGGGGAAAGGGGGCGAAAGAACGGTCACAGGTATGAGCGGGCAAGAAGGGGGCGAAGGAAAGTGAAGGGTAGTTGATGGGGCAACGCACAACTCAAATGGCTCGTGAACTGCTTGCTGCAACGCAGCCAACCAGCAATAGCCCGTATTGTTTTCCCCGCTATTGTCAAGCCTCGAAAAGGCTGCATGGATAGTCTCCCGATATATTGCTTCCTGGCAGATAGGTTCATGGGTGCGAAACTGCTCTTGCTTTCTCCCTTCCCTCTTCTCTCCGCCCATACAGTATCAGTCAACGCCCATCTTACTACTGCTAAGGAGCTCACAGGCTTGGTGGGCCCCCCTCTTTTCCCCCTGCTCTGCTCCCTTCGTCCCTCTGCCTTCTCTCTTTTCGCTCTGGTTCTTTTCTTGCTCCACCAGACGGCCATCAACCCCCATCTCGGTACTCCCGAGGAGCTTAAAGCCCTGGTGGATGCGGCTCATGCCATGGGCTTCCTGGTCATGATCGATGGTGCGTGGATGCTGATGATAGATGGTGGGTTGCGTTCCTAGCATGGCATGGTGTGGCACAGCATGGCATGGGACGGCATGGGATAGCATGGGATGGCATGGGACGCCATGGCATGGATTTTCTATTCTGTTCGGATGGTCTCTCCTCCACAGCCCAAGACTCCTTTCCTCTCCTTGCCTCTTCCCCTCCTCCCCTCTTCCTCTCGTCCTCTCCCCACCTTCCCCGCACGCCACCCACCAGTGGTACTCAACCACGTGGGGTGCCCTCAGGGTGGGGGGCCGTGTGACACGTGGCAGGAGGGGATTCGCCGACCACCATGGCTCAACGACAGCTATGCTCCATTCAACGAGGTGAGACAGGAGAACGAGTGACGGGATATGAGGAAATTGTTAGTGCGGTGATTGCGCTGCTCTCTCAACCCCCAATAACCTCATTCCTCCCTCACTCTCTCGTTCTCCCTCTCACTGTTAGTTCAGTAACTGTCCCCCTTTCGCTTGCTTTCAACCCCCCGTCCGTCCCCCTTCACCCTCTCCCATACATTTCCCCATTCCCGGCACTGCTGAATGCCAGAACGCCTCCTTCCACCCGCCCTACGCTGTCACCACCCTCCTTCCCCCGTCTGCTCCAACCCCCCATCCGCACTCTCTCTCACTCCCCTGTTCGCCTTCCCCTCTCCCATCCCCCTTTCCCCACTTCCGTTCCCCCTTATCCACTCTCATTCCCCTTTTCCCGCCCCCATTCCCCCTCCCCTCCCCCATTCCACATTGTGCGCACTGCCCAATGCCAGAGCGCCTCCTTCCACCCACCTTGCGAGGTGGATTTCAGCCAATACGACGCCGACAACTGGCAGCACTGCTGGCTTGCCAGTCTCCCAGATTTCAACCAATCAAACCCTGCTGTTGCCGCAGCACTCGTGAAGTCCACTGGTGAGTGAGTGGGTGAGAGCGGCTTGCGCGGGCACACAGAGAGAATTGCTCTCTCTTCCCCATGCATGCAGCGTGGCCCGTGGGTGAGTGGGAGCTGCGTAGGTGAGCAGCTTGCGTGGGTGAGTGAGAACTGCCTGTGTATCCTCATGGGTGTGATGAGGCGATTTTTGAGTCGACTCAAAAATCGCCTCATCACACGTGAGAACTGCACACAGCCCAGTACCTATGCGCTTGCTCATGCCTCATGACACCACCTGATCAGCCACAACTGAAGCGCGGAAAACCCTTTCTCCTTATTTTCCCCCTTTTTTTCTTCCAGCCTATCTCGTGCACACGTTCTCATTCGACGCCATACGAGTCGATGCAGCACACCACATGCCACCCGAGTTCGTCCGCTCCCTCGCCTCCCACCTCCGAGTGCCAGCCTTTGCAGAGCTCTCCATTCCCTTGCTGCCGCTCCCCCACCGTCTGCTGGCAGGGAGAGCGTACACGGTGAGTGCAGTGCAGATACTGTCGTCTGTACTGTCATCCCACCATGTCTGCAGTCTGAGTCTGTTTTTTTAGATTTCTCAAAAGACACATGCACCGTCGTCTGGTCTGTACTGTTTTGAGTCAACTCAAATCGCGACTCTGAATCTGCACTTGAGAATTCTCAAAAGACACGTACATCGTCGTCTGTTCTGTACTGTCCTCGCACCATGTGTGCAGTGCAGACGGTGGTGCAGTGCATGCATGCATGTAATGCTCCCCATTTCTCCTCTGAACCTCAAACCCTAAACCCAACAATTCTGGCACCAGTGAGTATGAGTCATCCTGCCACGCTTCCTGTTTCATGTTTCCCCTCCGTGCTGTTCTGTTCTCCCTGCTTGCAGAACCACGCTACAGCCGAGCTACAGCAGGCGCTACAGCTGGCCATGGTGAGGGCTTTCACAGGGGGCAACACGGGCAGTGATGAATTCACACACAGCCCTGCTGCTGGCTACACTGTCCCTGCTGCCCCTGCTGCTTCCTCCGCCCCGACCTTCCCTGCCTTACCTACTGCTGCCGCTTCTGCCGCTGCAACTGGTGCTACCGCTGCTGCTTCTGCTAGTGCTGATGCAGCAGATTTAGCTGGCGCCCCTGCACCCCCTGTCGCCCCTGCTGCGGCTGCTGTGAGGGTAGCATCTGCGGAAGCAGCGACTATGGTTGAGCTTGCGAGAGCCATGGCTGCAGTGTTTGAGGGCGCTGGGAATGCGGACTTTCAGGGAAGCTTCCTAGACAACCATGACTCGCCCCGCTTGCTGTGCTTGCTATATGGAGGTGAGATGAGGGCTTGTGGAGCTGGGCTGAGCTGCTAGTGTGATGCTGCAAGAGATGAGATGAGGTGTAATGACAGACAGATTCAATCATTCAACCAAGGTGACTTTTGGGTCAAACCCAAGCTCTCCCTCTATTTGAGTCACGTTGGAGAATTCTCAAGAGTTGTTCCTGGTAAGTGATTATTCCCAAGCCCTCCCTCTCCAGTCCTTTCCTCCACTGCACGTCCACCTCCCCCCATCACATCCCTCTCCCTTCTCTATTTGCACGTGCAGACCAGCTGTTGCTGCGCAATGCGCTCGTGCTGCTGCTCACCACTAGAGGCATTCCCCTCGTCTACTCAGGCACAGAGCAGGTGAGCATTGGGTGGGTGGGTGAGTGGTTGGGTGGGTGGGTGGATGGGGAGGAGAGAGGGTGGGTGGGAGGGTGGGTGGTGTGCGAAGGTGGGTGGGTGGTGCTGCAACGTGTGTTGGCACCGCTTTCGACTCACCTCCAAGCAGGGCTGCTGCAATCGCCCCTTTTTGGATCTGACCTCTTCTCATTCCTCCCCGCACGCCCTCATAGCCGGCCCTCAGGCCCCTTTTCATTTCCTTTCTTCCCTACTGCTCCTCTCCATCCCCCCCCTCAGGCCTTCATGGGAGGACCCGACCCGCAGAACCGCGAGTCCCTCTGGCCCTTTCTCAACACGCACCACCCTCTCTACGGCTTCCTGGCTGCTGTCAACCGCTTCCGACACAAGGTAACTTGGAGGTGCTTTTTCATCTCGCACACAGTGTGATTTGCCTCGACAAAAGGCTTCCTCAACACAGACCACCCTCTCTACTGCTTCCTGGCTGCTGTCATCCGCTTTAGATACAAGGTAACTTGTATCGCTCACGATATTCCACAGGTCACGGGTTTTGAGAGGCGTCTCACAAATCGTTTTAGATCCAGACGGTAAATTGATTTGCGCAGTGTGCTTTGGATGAGGTTGCTGGCGCCCCTCCCTTCCTCTCCCTTCTTCCCTCTTCGCCCCCTACCCACTCCCTTAGGTCCCCCATCGTTCTCCCCTGCGTATCGTTCATGAACCTCCCTTGCCCTAGCTTTCAAAGCTTTATTGAAACAGCAACCTGCGCGTACCATGTCACATGATATCCCGGTTTCTGTTCATGCGATGTCATCTAGTCTTCCCTGTCCCTTTTGTCGCATCTGCATCTAAGGTGTCCCTGTGGCAGTACAAGCAGCAGCATATTCGATTCGTCTCCACCCGCTTGCTGGTGTTCCAACGTGGGCCAGTGGTTGTTGCGGTTACCAACAGTCCTGCTGATGCTGAAGCAGTCAACACTGTACATGTAACGGGTTTGAACTACAGAGATGGCACCATTCTTTGCAATCAGTGAGTAGCAATTCTTTCTTTTTTGCTTGTATTTCCAAGCCATGGTGGTGTTCGATTTGTTTGCTCAGTGCCTCCTTTTGTTATGTTCCAGGTTGGTTGATAATGAGTGCATTCGTGTAGTCAACAAGGGAGGGGATGTACATTTTTCTGATAGGCATCCTAAGCTATATTACCCCCTCTAAGGGCGTGTTCCTACGCTCTTATCAGGCAAACCTCTTGTCAGCCTTGCCTGGTAAAAGTAGCGAGGGTTTTGGGTTTATGGAATTTTCAATGTGTTTTAACGCGAGCTTGAGAAGAGGTTGGCCTGATAAGGGGCCGTAGGAACACGCCCTAAATAGTGTGCAGCACAGGACAGGAGTGAGTACCATTGATTCTTGCTTCCATGTTTTGGAACAATGTTAAAGGTGTGCGTATGTTTGAATTTCTCTAATCGAAATTCTATGCCCGCAAGAATGTGGTCTGTCATTTAGTTGGTGGCTGTAGGGTTAGTGCATGAGGTTAGTTTGCTTAATCAGGTCTCATTGCTTGAAGTGTAACACTATAAGGCAATCACTTCCACACTGACGTTACAGGAACAGTGAGTTCTTCCTTAAAGAGCTATGACGTGTGAGCCTGACGTAGCCACGCCTGCTTCGTTCGCCTTTCCTCCTGACGTCATCCTCCCCTAGCCCCTCGCCTCGCCTCGCCCCGCCTCGCCTCGCCATGCCGCCATCACAAATGACACACGCAAGCTTGTTCCTTTGCTCCTGCTTTCTATGTACAGTATAAATACAACACGTATCCGCTTTTCACGCTGCGTTGAGTAGTCACGACGATTGCGCGGGCTAGCCCTTTTCCCAGCTCGTTTTGCCCGCGGCTGCTGGCCTGTTTCGCCACTGAAGTCCCGTGACGAAGCAGTGACGAACAATAGTCAGTGACACAACGCGTCGTTCTGAAGTCGACATTGTAGACACCCTTTCAGTCGACTTAAACCGTTCGTAGTCCGTTATGTGACGTAAACAGTCGGAAGTTTTCACAAGGTTTCAGGATTTTTTTCTTGGTCATGCGATCTGTCGCCGTCTCCTGTGCGATTCGCACCATTCGTCGCCTGCCGTGGAACACGTCGACCGTCGCACAGCCGCTTAGGGTCGCACGGTCGCTTCAAGTCACACAGCCGCGAAAGGTGGCACAACCAGTTGGAGCCTCGGCAACCGTTTTGGACGTGGCACAGCCTCTTCGCAGGACTTTCGCGAACCCCTGGGCAATTCGGCAATTGTCGCCAGCAAGCATAAGTCGCATCGCCATGGCTTCGGCTGGCGACTCCTGCGATCCCTGCGACAACAAGCCCTTTTCGCACGCGACGACGAGCGCCGCCAGCAATGCCGCTGACTCCGCCGCCAAAATCCCTTCTCACGTTCCGCAAGTGGACAAATCCGATTTCGCGAACACGGCGAAACCAGCTGTTAGTAACCCGACAGGCGCGACGGAGCAGGGGGACGCGAACGCGACGAAGGTTCCAGAAAAGAGGCTTGTCAGGCGACTGGAGAGCAGCGACCCGTTGGCGCTACTAAAGGCGGTCATGCCGATGCAGGTAGTTCGCAACGCGGTGCCTCTTAAGTTGTGTTTATGCCCCATCGCAGGTACTAAGCAACGCGATACCTCTTACCAAATTCCGAACTTCTAGTAATATCACGAGCCGTGATGATGTTCCATGCTGGAACTAAGCAATGCGGTGCCTCCAGATGCTCGCTAACTCCTCGCTCTCCGTTTATGAGGCACGAAGTCTCAAAGCCGCTCGCTCTCCTTGGGTGTGGCATGCTCAGCTCACAGCACTCGCGTTTAAGGGTTCCCAAAATTGCCGCATGCTCACGACACTCCTTCTCCCCCGCCACTAGCCCCTCGCCCTCATTGCTCCCGCTGCTCTCATCCCCTTCCCCTCTGTGTGCCCCTCTCTCTCACTCACTCCCTCTCTCCGCAGGTGCTGCTGGGAGCGGGCATGCTCACGGCGCTTGTTCTCCCCCGCCCCATCGCTCTCGCGCTCACCGCTGCCGCCCTCCTGCCGCCCATTCTGCGCACTGCGCTGCACAGCTGGCACTGGAGTCGCGCCAGGAAGGGCGGTTCTGGGGGAGGTACATCTGGGGGAAAGGGGGAGAGGGGGGAGAAGGGGGAATTGAAGGCTGAGGGGATTAAGGGGGGCGTAGGAGCTGAGAGGGAGGGGCTTTTGGGGGAGGTACTATTTGAGCCAGATAAGACAATGGCGAATGGCAAGGAGAACGGAGTCGGTGGGCGGCACGAGGCGGCAGCTTCTGCAAACGTGCTTTCTGTGAATGGGATCGATATTTTCCAGGGCCGGATGGCCGGCAAGATGGACGGCGACTTTTGTCTGTTTCTGATCGGAGCAAGAGCCAACAATCCCTTTCCAATGGGTCCCGCGTTTCCTTCGGTTGGGGAGGTTTTCAACCAAGCTGTGAGGTGAGCTGTGCGCTTGGTTTGAAGCACACATGCTGTGTGGTGAGCCTTGGGTTTGGGTAGGAAGTCATGTGGCAAGTTGAAAAGGCGGGTGTGTTGAATGACACATGCTGTGATGTGAGCCGTGGGCGTGGTTTGACGTTTGTGTTGGGTGTTGTAAATTGCTGTTTGCGGGTGTTGCTTGTGTTGGAGGTTTAAAAATTTTGGAGTATACTTTTGAGGTGGTTCAAACCTTGAGGCAGTTCGGGTGATTGTGCTAATGTCTGGGGTGATACTTGTGTTAGAAATTGACAGTCGCGCTGTGAGGTGAGGTGAAGTGGCATGTGGGCATTGGACAGACCACGTGGTACTCGTGCTTGATACTTGCACGCCTGTGTTTGCCCTGCATTATCCCCCCTGCACCCTTTCCTTGGCAGGGAGCTGGAGCAGGAGAGTGAGAGGTTTGGGTACCTGGGGGGAGACCACTATGTGGGCACGGACGTGACACGTGGCTCGCAGACAATCGCTGTCATGTACTGGCGCTCGTACGACCACCTTGTCTCGTATGCCAACGACCAGAACCTCGTGCACGGCTCAGGTATGAGCTTGAGGGGGCTTGGCTTGGTATGTGCCTGGGGCATAGGTGGTAAGAGTGCATTGGCTGTCATGTACTGGCGCTCCTACGATCATCTTGTCCCTTATGCCAACGACCAGAACCTCGTGCACGGCTCAGGTATGAGCTTGAGGGGGCTTGGCTTGGTATGTGCCTGGGGCATAGGTGGTAAGAGTGCATTGGCTGTCATGTACTGGCGCTCCTACGATCATCTTGTCCCTTATGCCAACGACCATAACCTCGTGCTCGGCTCAGGTACGAGCCTTGGGGGGGGTATGGGCCGGTATGTGCCCTTGGCATGGGTGTGACTTATGCCAACGACCATAACCTCGTGCTCGGCTCAGGTACGAGCCTTGGGGGGGGTATGGGCCGGTATGTGCCCTTGGCATGGGTGTGACTTATGCCAACGACCAGAGCCATGTGCAAGGGTAGGTATGTTGCGAGGCTTGGCTCAGGTATGTCGCGAGGAGGCTTGGGCTGGGTGCACGAATAGAAGCTTCGTTCTGGGGATTTTGAGGCTTGGGTTGGGTGATTTTGAGACAGGTTTGTCCAAGTATATTCCTTTATATCCTTCTTTCATCTGCCCGTTTTCTGTTTCCACTCCCTCCTCTCCAATCTCCTTACTCACGTCTTCCCTGCATCTCAATACCTTGTCTACACTGTCTAGCTACCCCTCTCCAATCATCCCTCTGTTTTCCCGTGTCCACCAACCCGTCTCCCTCCTCGCAATCAGCATGGAAGCGAATGACTCAGTTGTTAAGGGACGGCCCTGACATTGGCGTGTGGCACGAGTCATATGCAATCAAAGCTGGGCAGTACGAATCAATTTATGTTAACTGCCCGGCATTTGGCCTTGGGGCTGCAGGAAGACTTGTGCCGGCCGCCGGGCCTTTGTCCACATCTAGAGGGAGAATGAGAGAGGGAGGTGGGGTGAAAAGGAAGGAAGTAGGAGAGGACGCAGCGAAGCTGCCAGGAGAGAAAGTTGGTAGCAGCAGATGTCCCATGGGATTTTGACCTTATACCCGTATCCTGCTTTTGTTGTACCACTGTTCAGATTAATATATAATTTAAAATGCAACATTACATCAGTGACTATATTCCACCATGCGAAGCTAATAACGGAAAGTGTATTCTAACAATCCCCCCAGTGTCAGTCAGTTGTGTGTGCATCCATACTTCGTGTGTGTGTGTGCCCGCTCCAGTCCAGAAATTCTCTCTTCACCTTCAATCCTCTCCACTTCTCCACTCCCTTGTCTTGCTTCCCCTGTGCGGTATATATCAAGGTATGGAGCCCCCCTACGCGTTTTTCAACCCACGGAGCTCCGGTGATTGTGGCCCGCATTTCTTGCTGTCTCGCCTTGTTGCAGAGTGATCGCAGCAGCACCCTGGTATACTCCGCAGCACCCTGGTATACTCCGCAGCACCGCAGCAGTCGCATGCAGCCCTGGTCCCCAGTCGTAACGAAACAGGGTTAGTCCCCAACCCCCATACCTAATTCCCCACCGTCCGATCTCCCCCCCCCTCCCCACCTCCTCCTCCCTTTCCTCCTCAGATGAGCTTGCGTTGAACTTCTTTTCTCTCCTCTCCCGTTGCCCACTCCAGCCTTGGCGATTAGTGATACCAGTTATTGAAGGATCCCGCCAAATTAGGCTTCTTGTTGGTCGGACTGAGACCAGTAGACGCAGCACCCGCCACACCATTCCCTCCCCCGCCGCCTCCTGACGCGTCATCCTGAAGCTTCTGCCACATTTGGTCCCCCACCACGCAGTGGGTAGATTCAGTGAATGTGAACGTTTCGAAGGGAACCCCCGCTGCTTGCCGGTTTTTCTGCACGCTGCCCAACGAATTTTTAATGTTGTTGGAGAAGTACTGTAGCTGTTGGATCTGCTGCGGGGTGCACTTTTTGAAGTGGGAACCGAGGCAGCGCACTAGCGGGTTGGCTTTCCCCTTCGCCTTTGGCGACATGGCGATCGCGACGGCCTTGTAGTCCACCAGCGAATTCACGACGAACATTGGCGACTTGACGAACTTGAGATTGTATTCGGGGAAGAAACACTTCCACGTGGAATCGCTTGGCTCCATGGCTGCGAGGAGAGGGAGGTGAAGGCGGGAAAAGGGCAGAGAAGGGCCGAGTGAAGTTTAAACCTGGGAATGGATGAGGAAATACTCGCTTAAGTCGAAGGCGAAAAGAAGAAACGAGGCGAAAAAAAAAGAGGTGATGGAATGATAGACTGCGAGTGAGAGGGAGGGGGTGCGGAAGTGTAAGCAACTTGCGTGTACTTCAGATCACGGTTTTCCACCTGTCGTGAAACTTCACCACTCCACCACCATGACAGGCAGTCAATCACGTGCAGTAACATTCGCTACACTCACCATCCTTGCAGTCGCCGTTGATCCCAATTCGGTCGATGTCGTGCAGCGTTGCCAGCCGCTGCACCTTCTCCCGCAGCGACCGCTCGCCGTTCACATCCACCACGTCTGCCGGGCAGAGCAGAAATAAATGGGGAATTTTAAAACTAAAACATAAGAAACAGCAAAGAAACGGGGAGAGAAGGTAAGCCAGCGCAATTGGGGGTAACTGGTAAACAGGAGAATTGCCCTTGGAAAACGGTGCTCCATACAGCTTCGCCCAGAAGCGGCCTACCTGGGAAGAAGCCTCCGTCCATGAAGCACTTCGTTTTAACGCCGTAATCCTTGAGCCACGTGGCGATCTGGTCGCACTTGATCGACACTGCCACCGCGCCCGCGCTGCAACCCCCCACCAGCACCTCCTCCCCGTGGTTCAGATTCTGATTGTCCAGCAGATCTGTCGGAGGGGGGGGGGGGTAAGACGGGGAGATAGAAAGCGAAGAGATGACTTTTGGGGAGTCTCAAGCCGCTGCATCCCCCCTCCACCAGCACCTAAACCCCATGCTGAAGATTCTGAATGTCAAGCAGATCTGAAACCGGGAAAACAGGGAGCGCGGAGGGCCGCAACGGCCCTAAGTTGAGTTAAACCTCCTCGCCATGGTTTAGGTTCAGAAAATCCTGACTTCGTCTCGTAAACGTACCTTGAAGCACGCCGTTCAAGTTCCAGTGTCCCCGGTAGTAGAGCGTCTTGCCGGTCTCCTCCGTCTTGTTCTTCTTGCCGGATCCGCCCGTGAAGGAGCTACCGTCGCAGTACTTTACGAGCACCACATTCCAGTTGTAGAACTGGGGGTTGATCCCCGCGTCCGGACTCGCGACTCCGCCGAAATGCACGTCCTGCGGTGGCGAAAGAGAACCGGCAAGGGGAACGGGAGGACGGATGTGGAAAGACGGGCAAGGTTTTCTCGGGAGGGAAATAAAAGGCGCGTTGCTCTTTGTTGGAGCTCGCATTGACATACGAGATTCGTGACTCGTGCTAGCAGTCTATGATTCAACTCACGCTGACGGACGGCCAGTTGACGGAGCTTCCGAGGTCCGTCATCGCGCGGTTGGCGCACTGCTTCGCACTGAAGCACCACCCACCGCCCTGGGAGGAAAAAACAGAATAGTGGAAAATGGAGCGGAAAGCGTTGGGGAAGGATGCCGTTGGAAGGGAAAGAGTGTATTCATCAGGAATGCGAATCACCTAGATTAAAATTAGGTGAAATCGAATGGAACTCCGCGAATACCTGTAGATTTGTCGAAGCGCACTTGTTGCCTGAAATAAAGCTGTTACGCTTCGTTCCGCGCTCACCTCCATAAAGAGGATCCACTTGTTGGCGCCCGTGCCGTATCCCTCGCGAAGGTAGTAACCCGGCATGCTGCGAACGGTGGGCACAGGCGAGGAATGAGCATGAGAAACACAAGGTAGAGTACATCGCTGTAACGATACGCGCCCGATTGTGGGAATTCATTAAGTGGAGAGTTCGTTGTTTTACGATCAGTTTTCCAGTCTTACCTCCCGTCCAGGCAACGACCTCGCGTCTGCTCCTTCGACAGCATGTGAAGCCGCGCGACACGGCCGCCGGGATTAACGGACGACGCGCCTACTCCCGGCTTCGGACTCGAGCCGCCATTACCGTTGCCGTTCAAATCGCCGCGCGATTTGAAGTCTGCTAGTGCCGAGGCGAGCAGTGAGCGTGGGCGTGCGGGATTCACGGACGCGGAAGCGAGGGCTACGGAGAGGGCGACAAGCGCGAGTACGAGGGAGAGGCTTAAAAGCGAGGCCTGGCGCAGGGAACGCCGGGTTCGCCCAATGCACCTGTGGCTCCGCGCCATTGTCTCGGGGACGGACGGCTAATTCTGGTTGCTCTTGGCAGGAACCGTTATACACGCTAGATTGATTGCAGGTTGTTTGAGCACGCTAGAGGGTCTACTTGGGAAAGTAATAGGCTCCTACGGCGAAAACTGTGAGTCAAATATCGCTAGGGTCTGAATGACAGATTGTGATCCTTCAGAATAACCTACTTCTCCTCGTCGACGTTAGCCTAACGGATAGTCAATGCGCTTTGAATCGCTTCTCTGTTGTTGTACCTTGGCTTGTCCAGATCGTTTAGAATGGCTACAGCAAGTTGCTCGCCCTGTTTCCACGATCAACGACAAAGCCAACAGTCTCCAGACGCTGTTCCGCAGGGTCCCACAGCGCAGTCAATGTCTACTCTCGGTTGTCGAAGCGCAGTCGCCACGCGGGCGCCCAGCCAAGCTATTAGCACTACTTGATACACGGTTCTAGAGAAATGCTGAACCTCCATCAGAAGAGGCTACACTTCACCTGGACCAAGCCCAGGGCAAAGACATTTTCATGGAACAGGGTGAGCACTGCGTGATCCACGTGCGTCGTGCGCGTGGTTTGGAGGGAGGTCGAAACTGGATTTTCAACATTCGACATTTTGCCTCTCGTTTATCCGTGTCGCCCAAGCGCGTCGCGTCTCAAAGGGAATGAGCGGGAGAGGCGGTGGAATCGCGAACCGCCAAGCATGCATTTACTCAACTAGTCGTTTTGTTCCGTTCAGCAAATTAATCGAGTAAGTACACAGAACAACGTATGTTGAATATATCGTAAAATAAATGAGTGCATTGTAGAAGACTTGTTGATGAATGCAGTGGGCCCGACTCAGATAGTTTTCTAGGACTATTGAAAAGTATTTATTTATATGGCTTAATGTCGTATTTGGATAAATGAGCATGAGATGGTCATATGGGCACAGAATCAATCCTACATCCAGAATGAATTGCCAACAGAATCTTCTGCTTTATTGAGCTACACTAAATGTAGGAGCCCATGCTCCTCAGAACATTGGGAGGTCACATGATGCGTATTACATGATGTGCCATGTAACAATAATCATTGTACACCAGCTAGCTTGCTTAGCCGCTGGTAGGCGAGCTCCTTGAGCCGTTTTCGGTCAAATGGGACGTATGCACAGACAGTCTCATCCAGACTGCATGCACACGCAACAAAATAGAACAGTGCACATCATGAGAAATGACCAAACTACCGCTTGTAAGACAAACATCTGACAGTGTTCGCAAGGAACCTAAGCAACCCTGGAAGGGGAAGAGGAGGTGTCACAGGAAGCGGAAGGTGGGGCGTGAGGTAAAAGCGGGGGCAGGGGCAGGGGCAAGGAACGGGGGTGGGGGCAAGGGGCAGCAGCAGGGGCAGCGGCAGGGGCAGGGGCACTGGCAGGGGCAAGGGCAGGGGCACGGGCAGGGGCAGGGGTAGGGGCAGGGGGGGGGGGAGGGGGAGGGGGGGGGGAGGGGCAAGGGCAGGGGCAGCGGAAGGGGCAGAGACAGGGGCAGAGGCAGGGGCAGGGGCAGCGGAAGGGGCAGAGACAGGGGCAGAGGCAGGGGCAGGGGGGAGGGCAGGGGGGAGGGCAGGGGTAAGGGCAGGGGGGGGGGCAAAACATAAAAGATGAAGGTGCTGCAAAGGAACTTACAGGAGGCAGTGGCGTCGGGCAGGGACTCCATGAACTGGTAGAGCTCTGGGATGTCGTACGTGTCTTCACTCACCTCCTTGAGCCGGTGATCGATCAAAGCATGCATATAGAAGGTGGAGGCGTTGCAGCAGGAGGCGTTGCAGCAGGACTTAGACGAGGGCAGTGAGGTCAGGCAGCGACTCCATGAACTGGTAGAGCTCTGAGATGTCGTTCGTATGTGATGTTCGTCACTCCCTTGGGCTCATCTCGTTGAACCGCCGCCGCTTAAGCAGAACAAGCATACAAAAGTGTACGCACTGCTAAGGGACTTACACAAGGGCAGTGAGGTCGGGCGGTGAGGTCGGGCTCCGAGATGTCGTTCCTATGTGATGTTTGTCACCTCCTTGGGCTCATCTCAAACAGAGAAGGCACATGAAAGGTGGAGGCGTTGCAAAGGGACTTACACCAGCGCAGTGAGGTCGGGCAGAGACTCCATGAACTGATACAGCTCTGAGATGTCGTACGTGATGTTCGTCACTCCCGCCTCATTTCGTTGAACCTCCCTTAGAAGAACAAGCATACATAAGTGTACGCATTGCAGGGGAACTCACACGAGGGCGGTGAGGTCGGGCAGAGACTCCATGAACTGGTACAGCTCTGAGATGTCGTACGTGATGTTCTTCACCCCGGGGTTCATCTCCTTGAGCCGCCGCTCAAACAGAGCGCACAGCCCTGCGAGTCATGCATGGCGAGCAGAGGGACGAGCGTGGATAAAAAAAAACAGAGATGGGACTTGTTCCATGTTTATTTCCCCATGGCCCTTAATCCTAAGCTCTTGGAACCCTGAACATGCTATCTAGGTATTGCCATTTGGGGATCCTCAGCAGTTTTCAGAGATTTGGGCATGTTTTAGGTTTCGGGGTTGGGGCTCGAAATACAGGTGAGGGGTGCGTTCTTCGGTTTAGTGAGAGCAAATGAACTAAATGCATGCACTCATATTCCTAAGTATGGAGTGATGTACACAGGGGACGAATGAGAGCGAGGGAAGGGAAATACCATCAATGGCCTCTGCTGTGGTGGGGTACTCGATATAAGTGCAGGATGATTTCTGTGGCGCTGTTTGCAGCAGAAGAATGGTGTGCCCATCCTGATCGGTTGCGGGAGTGGGGAAGGACGGTGGTACGATTTGGGCAGTGACGGACGGGAAGGACGCGCACGGAGCAAAACGAAGCCGAACAAAATAATTGAAGGAGCATTGGAAAGTGATGCGAAGGCTCGGTTGGGTAAATGCAGGCCCCAGCCGACAACACAGGAGGGATCCCTAACCGAGCGGGTGTGTTGCGATTGAGAGCAGCTGCTCTGACAGATAGACGAGTAAACACGGCAAGAAAACCCTAACCTAGAGCACTCGCCGTGTGGCGCCTTTTCCAATCACCAGTTCGACATGCCAAATGTTAACCAACTATAGCTTTAAGAGTGCGCGCAAGTTTCTTTACCATGTCTGTTAGCAATAAGCGAGTCAGCGCCTGCTGCGATCAGCGCGTCCTAAGCCGCCTAAAAATCCACCCTTCGCCGCGATGACGAGCTGCTACGACCAGGCCAGGTGAGATTAACAGTAAGCAGGAGATTCCTACGAGAAATGTCGGTGTTGCCCGCGAACACGCGATGCGCTAGACCGTAATCCACGGCTCTGCAGAAGCCTGACTTTTGACTGCTTCTGTCACCTATCAAGACAAACCTACACTGCTAAGCGTTCGATGCTAACTGGTCCCCGGACCAGTGCGCTAGAATACTCTCAGATAGGTGCGCGTACGAAGCGCTAAGTGATTTGCAGGACTCATAATGGACAAGTTCGAGCTTACGGATTGTTGTGATTACAGAGAGCGGTGGCGGAAGAGGAATTCCGTAAATACTTGACATAAAACAGTCGGTATACCGAGATAAATGTTTTTTGTTTGCTGTTTCCCAGATGCAACAACATTTTTGCCAAGGCTGGAGCAGCCTGAACCGAGCCGTGTCGCGTATATGCGATTTGAACGGTGTCAGTTGGTGCGAACAAGGAAGTTCATACAATTTTTATTCGTTGAACTATGTAACATCTTTTTCGCTCGCATAATTGAGCACGCGAACAGCGTTCTCAACCTCACCATTTTCGCATTGGCGCAATTTGAAAATGCGCGCGCCGCCTTAGTATTCTTGTGTCGCGGCTCGTGACAGAGCAAGCATAGCCTTTCGCGCAGGCACAAAAGACAGCGAGGCAGGCAACCCAGGAGAAGGACAAGCAAATGCGAATGGTGTGGAGAACACCAAAATGATTTAGGCATCAGGACTAGCTTTCTGGTTTCAACAGCAGAAGAGAAGCATTGTAGCTCACTTTACTCGCACGCATTTGCCTGTTCACAATAACTTTCCTCATCACATCCGCCGACCTTTGTCACCATAGTTAGATTTTTCACGCCAAGAAGAAGTACGGCCTTCTTTCCTCTCTTTCGAGTGAATGAACGCGTTCCTACACATTTAGACATGGACCAATCGGCCTCCCCGCGAATGCGAACTCACGCATCCCCCCCATTCGTCACCACTATCCTCCTCCTGATCTTCATCCTAGCCCCGTCGCACACTGTCGCAAGCAGCGAAGCGGCTTCGCAAGAGATCGCAGATCCTTTCGAGACTCTAGACAGTGCCGTTGACGCTGAGTCCTTCGGACCGCACATTGATTTCTCTTCTTCCGGATCCGCCGGCGCCGGCGGCGGAGTCGGCGTTTTACCTGGCGGCCCGCCAACCGTGCCTCGCGTGGCGCAGCTGCGAGGGGCGAGTGACGACGTTGCGACGCAGGCGAGCAGCACCGTCGCCGCAGGCGACAACCCGCGCGTCGCACGGCTGTATCTCCTGTCGAAGAAGAACTCTCGCGCGCGATGCTTGGACGGCAGTCCTGCTGGATACTACCTGCGACGCGGGTTCGGCAGCGGCGCCAACAACTGGATCATGATTCTCGAGGTGAGCAGTGCCGCATTCTCACTTGCGTGTGAATTCGGGGCCAAACAAGCATTTTTTCTAATGCAGTAGACATGTTTTCTTCAAAGTAGACAAATCTTTGTGACGATGCCGACTTGGTTGTTCCTGCCATTATTACTCTTCTTCGTATCGCTGTTACATCTTCGTTTTTCTGTGCGTGTCATCTACGTCTCATGTGCATTGCCAGGCTGGCGGGTGGTGTTTCAATGCCAAGTCGTGCGCGAATCGAGCCAAGGGACCCCTGGGAAGCTCAAAGAAATGGCCGCCAACCAGCGTACGTACTATTCCCGACCTCAGCACCTCGCATTGCGGCAGCATATGCCGAGCCACTCCCGCTCTCTCACTCCCCTTCTGGATAGGTCCAGCAAGCTGACAGAGCGAATCCCTCATTCCTGCCTCCTCTCTTAGTTCCGTTTGCTTAAATCTGAGGGAAGAACTGAAAGTAGGACGCGTCCGCTTTCAGCAGAGGCGTGCATAACAGACCCCCTTCACCATACGGCGCCCCTTCACCCGGCGGCTATGGCAACCTGCGCTTCCTTCTCACTGCGCCCAGCACAGGCTCGGACTCTCCGCACGTGGGCTGCGCTTCTCGTTCCCGCTGCGCCCCACGCCTCCCCACGAACCATCGTTCCCGTCCCCTCGCCTTTCCCCCGCTCCTTTCCCTCCTCCCCGTCTCCCCTTCTCCCCGCAACAGGACGTGAAGTATGGCGGCGTGGGCAGCACGGACAGCGCCGTGAATCCCGCGTTCTACAACTGGAACCTGGTGCTCGTCAAGTACTGCGACGGTAGCTCCTTCACTGGTGGCTACGGCAAGTTGCCGCCCAACTCGGAGACGGGACGCGCGCTCTACTTTCGCGGGCACTGGAACCTGCAGGGCACGCTGCAAGGTGCGTGGCAAATCGGGTCGTATTTTGGGATTCTCGGGAAAGTACACAACGATGCAAGGGAAAAAAAGGAATTCTTGCCCATTTTTGTAAATTAAATTCAATGAAGCACGTAGTATGAGAAAATTACTCTTCACTTAACTCGTGATTTCCGACGAAGCACGTTCCCTTGACCACCCTCCCCTCCCCCTCTCAACCCCTCCGCCTCTCATCCCCAACCCTGCAGATCTGCTGGCGCGGCACGGGCTGAACGTGGGCAAGCAGATGCTGGTGGGCGGCTGCAGTGCGGGTGGCGTCGCGACGTCAATCAAATGCGATCAGATCTCGAGGTGGCTGGCCAACTACAACGTCACCACCAAATGCTTCATGGACGGAGGCTATTTTCCAGGTAGGCCTCACCTACCAACTTCACCTGGATTAGGCTTCATGTCGGGTAGGTCTTTCTGTATAGACATTCCCGTCTGGAATGCGATCAGATCTCGAGGTGGCTGGCCAACTACAACGTCACCACCAAGTGCTTCATGGACGGAGGCTACTTCCCGGGTGGGCTTATCTTGGGATGAGCTTCAATCTGAAGCACTGGACGTTTGAGCTTGTTGGAATTTAGACAATGCCGGGTTTGGAACTTCTTTCAGGTATGGCCAGTCCCCACTGCTCCCCCCAGCGCTGCCTGGTTCTCTCCAATTCCCTCTCCGTCAAGTGTTGCTCATGTGGAGCGGTCATTGGGCCACATGAGGAGCTGGATGGCACGTCGCTGTTGTCCCCACCCCCTTCCCATTCCCATCCCCCTCAACATCCCGCTCCCCCTCCCTAATCCGCTCCCGTCCCCTCCTTTTCTGCTACCATTCTCTCCCCTGCCTGATCCCTCCCATCAGACGTGGCGGATAAGGACGGGCAGTACAGCATGCGCCTGAAGGTGCAGAAGATGGCCGGCCTGCATGACATGGGACGCATTGGGGTTAACGCCGAGTGCAAGCGAGGTGAGTCACCATTGTCCAATGAGCAACGAGCAATGAGCACTGAGCATTGAACTCTGGGCGAAAGGAACTCTCTCAAGTGATGCAAGCGCAGTCTTCTCGTAGCTGGAGTAGTCCCCAACAATTTGATGTTCAATGCAATGCAATGAAATTGACTCTTTCCAGCTTGTTCCTTTGCAAGGATATCCTCCACTTGCTCTATCCAACTTCTTGCGTCGCTTTTCCTCCCTGTCTTTCTGTTTCCACTCTCCTTGCTCTTGTTCTCTCTGATCCTCATCCTCACTCTATGCAGCCATGAAGGGTACCAACGAAACATGGAAGTGTTTCTTTCCCGAGTACAACCTGCAGTTCTCACGCTCTCCGATGCTCATTGTCAACTCCTTGTCTGATTACAAAGCCGTCAGTCTGACCCTCGCACCCAGGCCCAAGGGTACCACAGACCCGTTGCTTCGGTGCCTCCGTTCCAGCTACCAAAACTGCGCTCCAGGCCAGGTGAAGCTGCTCCAGTCCTTTTCTGCTAAGGTTAGCTCCTCTATACAAAGGATTGTGCAGATGAAGTCTGCTGAGAATGATGGGTTCCAGGCGTTTACATTCTCGCAATCTGCACACTGCGTGGTGGGAGAGGAAATGTGGCAGAAGGTACAGTCAACTGCCAAGGCCTTTTCTTCTGTTCAATCCCCGGCTTCATCGTCTCCTGTGGCAACAAGTGGCGGTACACCTTTAGCCACGTCCTTCGTCAACTGGTTTCGTAGCTGATCAAATTGGGGCAGGATTTCTTACCTGTGTTTGGGCTAGTGGAGCACAGTTTGTGCTTTCATGTTTTTCCGTATACATAGGATGTACGAGACATAAGTTGAGAAACGAACCAGTCTCTAATTCGGCAGAGTTATTAAAATACGACCTTCAAGCGCGTACACAATTCCTGCAGCACTCCACCCCACTCAAGCTGCCAAAATTGCTTCTCCCGCAAAAAATTCCCAACAACGTCGCGCCATGCGGTCTGCCCGCTAGGCAAGACGCAAGAGGCTGCATGAGCGCAGTGGTCCCCACGCAAGCCGCAATCCTCGAATGGGGAGTCTGTTTGACACAGCCATCGAATGGCAAACGATTTCGTAGCCCTCCTTGATTCTCGCCCTGCCCAACTGCAAGTTCGGGCAAGGCACGCGCGGTTTGTGTTCCAGCTCAGGCAGAGACTGTACAGTGCAGTGATTGGCGATCACCCTTCTCACGTGTTCTGTCTCGGTTTTTCCATCACACATCCACCTGGTCTGCATCCAGACCAGAACGATCTGCCGTGGTTCGAAGGATTTGGGATGGGTTAGAGGGCAAAAACGGTGCAGAACATTTCGAATGGCTGCTTGTCCTTCGCGAGGTCATAGCGCCAGCCATGCGAATTCAGTTTGGTCGGAGGTCCGTCTAGAAATTTCATTGGCGGGTGGTGCTTGTGGTTCATGAGAGCCATGTCGATGCCCGGCTGGCCTGGAGCGAGTCGGAGCTCACGTGCCGCTCGAGCGTCCGAATGGACAGTCATTCCAGAAACAGCAGAAATAGTGCCCTTGGATTCTCCAGTTGCTGACCCAAGCTATTCCATACGTCAGTCTTGATGTGCTCCGACGAATTCGGGCTCGCAGCTTGCAGAAACTATTTTTCCTGCGCGAGTGAATAAAGTTGTTGAGCCGACTTGTAGAACACTAAGCTGGTGCGTCTATCCAGGTTGTTGCCACTAAGACCCGTGTGCGTCGTACTTTTGTCTTCGAAGCCATGGCCGCGATTTTGCGCACCACTGCCCATCAGGGCCTAGCCAGTTTATCGTTGAGGAAACCTTCGATTGTAGAAAACAGTAAACGACTTGGTTTCTTCGGAGACAAGTGTCTGAAGTGCTCGCAAAGCGGCAGCAGAGGACAAGCTCGACGTAATTTCACATCGCTGAAAGTCAGCTCCGTTCTTGAGGTGAATATTTAGGCGAATAGTGTCAACTGCTTTGATTTCACGCGTTCTGGATAGTCCATTTCTCATCGCTAGGGTTGGCGCCTGCAGGTCCCAAGTAGCCTTGAAGGTTCCTTCTCACCTGTTGTGTTCCCGACACCTGATGAAGGCGAGTCAGCCACGATAAGGTGGAAGGTCCTTCCTGACATTTGGCCTACTCTCGCAGAGCAGTATGGCGACAAGATCGCTCTTTTCGATCCGCATCACGGACAAAAACGAGGCTTGACGTTCTCGGAGCTTGAGAGTGCAATTCATGATTTCGGTGAAGGTCTGCGCGTCTATGGGCTGAAGCAAGGAGAGTGCGCCTCGCTGTTTGCTGAAAACTCGCACCGATGGCTTATCGCTGATCAAGGCAAGCCAATTTTCCATGGAATGATGCCTGTTTCGGTCTGGAGTCCCATACGAGTACTTTTAAGGTCGAGCATATTCTGATCATGCGGTTGGAGGTGCGAGCAGGCGTGATGGACATTGGTGCTCGTGATGCTGTTCGAGGAACGAAGTCCTCAGGCGCGGAATTATTTCACATCCTGGAAAACTCGGACAGGTTCGTCATGACTTCTTGGGTTCGTTTCACGTCAGTAAGGTTCCCGCATTTCATTATGAATGACCGCGTTTTTTTCTGAACGGTTTCTTTCAGTACCGCTGTCATCGTGGACAACGTCCAGGTTCTTGAGCACATTGCGCCGTTCCTCGAAGCTTCTTTGGTGAAAGATACTGTCAAGTTTGCAGTTGTCCTCTGGCCTCCAGTCGGTAAAGGCCAGGCAACCAACACTGACTGGAAGACTAAAAGCACCTGTTCGAAATGGTTTTCTCTATACTCGTTTGAAGAAGTCTCGGCTGCTGGGAGTGCCAGCAGGCTCACGCATGATGCTCTGTCGCGCTCAGCGCCTCGTCAAGCGTCCAGACCTGATGACGTGGCAACATTGGTGTACACCTCTGGAACGACCGGGAATCCCAAGGGAGTGATGCTCACACACAGCAACCTGATGCATCAGGTCAACCTCTCCCCCCTCGTCTTTCCCTTCTTCCCCCTTCTTCATGACGATTTATCATACTCGCAGTGGATTATACACGTGGTTATGCCTGTTATGTTCATTACTGCATACATTTCTTTCTCACATCCCTTACCATGATCACGCTTCGCAGGTCAACAATTTTGAATGTGCCCTGACGCCAGATGCTGGTGATGTCATGTTGAGCCTGCTACCCCCATGGCACATGTATGAGCGTTCATGCGAGTACTTTCTACTGAGCCGTGGCGTCCAGCTAGTCTACAGCAATGTCAAGTCATTCAAGGTTCGCCCAGTGCATGATCGCATTTCAATCAAGTCATCCCACAGCATCTGAGTAAACTTGTTCCAATTTCATTGCAGGAAGACTTGATGAAACACCCTCCGGACTACTTCGTGGCTGTTCCACTTGTCTTCGAGGTCCTATACAGGTAATACAGCAACCAATCATCTATTCCTGGCGGTAAACTGAACTCCTTCCTTCCACTCATGAGATCACCACAAAATTCCTTGTGTTGGACTTGCAGTGGAGTCCAGAAGAAGCTTGCTGCAGCATCAGCCGCCAGAGCAGCAATTGCCAAGTTCTTGATAAAAGTCAGTTGTCTTCACAAGGAAGCGCTGCGCATCTGGACAGGCATGGCTGTCCTTCGTTCACGTGAAAACGTTCAGGGGCTCATGTTCATGAAGGCTGTAGCAGAATGTCTGGGATCCGGGCTTTTAGCACTGGTGCTGCTGCCTCTTCACCTTCTGGCGGAGAAGCTTGTGTACACCAAGGTCAAAGCTGCTATCGGCATAGAAAAGGTATGGTATGGCATTTTAGATGACCTAGCAAGGCTTACACTGTTTTCAGACGTTCATGTTGATAGACGCTGTTTACATTGTTGCCTCGCATTCTGCGCTTTGATTGTGCACACAGGCAGCTGTGAGTGGTGGAGGCAGCTTGCCGTCGCACGTGGACAAATTCTTTGAGGTATGGAATGCCTGAGTTTTGTGAACTGACTAGGTCATTCTGAAGATAATTTGTTTTAGCTCCTGAAGTTTGTCACATTCTATCTGATGCCGCTTCTCTTTTGTTTTCAGCAAATTGGGATCACTCTGCTCAATGGATATGGGCTCACAGAAACCTCTCCTGTGCTGACAGTCAGGCAAAGTTCCAACAATGTAAGCACGGTCGACCTGAAGTTTCTCAATTGTCACGTGCTTGCTACAGCAGACGATGAGACTTGATTTGGTTTTCTTTTCGGTCGTTGGAACAGGCTTTGGGAAGCATTGGGAGTCCCGTTCCTGGAACAGAGATAAAGATTGTAGACCTGGAGACGGGAGCTGGTCTCCCTGCAGGCCAGCGTGGGTTGGTCAAGGCACGTGGCCCTCAAGTGATGAAGGGCTACCACAAGGTGAGTTCAAATTTGTGTTTAGATGCCAGGATTCTTGCACCTTTTCAGTGCAATCAAACTTATGTGCATGGGCTTGTTGGTGTTCAACAGAACCCGGCGGCCACAGCAATGGCAATTGACAAGGATGGTTGGTTCTCGACGGGCGATCTTGGATGGATCTCTCCTTTGACTCCAGTTGGCGCTGCACGAAACGCTGGAGGGCTTCTGGTCCTTGACGGTCGAGCAAAGGATACCATCGTTCTTGCCAGTGGTGCGTGTGACTAGACAGCTGGCAAGCACACACTTATTTGCAACTTTGAACGGATGTGTGGCTGAATTTTGATTAAATGTGTACATTCTTGCCCTTCTTTCGAACAGGTGAAAATGTGGAGCCTGCCTTTGTTGAGGAGGCTGCACTTAGCAGCCCTGTCATCCGCCAAATAATGCTCGTTGGCCAGGTACAGCACGGTTACAGCATGTGTACAGCATGTGTAAGCAAGCAATCTCAGTCTGCCTGCACTGAGGTCGATTTTCTTAACCATCGTTCTTTGTACTTATATGCTGAGACTCTGAGACTCACTTGGATTATGTTTTCAGGACGAGAGAAAGCTTGGAGCGCTGATTGTCGTGAATGAGGACGAGATGAAGGCTGCAGTGGCAAACGTGAGAGCGGAGAAGGGGATGGAGGGAGGCGAGGTGACAGAAAAGGAACAGAGGGCTCTCGTTCAACAAGAGCTCACCCGCTGGTAAGCTAGTCTGGTTCATCATCTTGTTTTGCACAACTGTCTTGCTTTGCGATGCCATTGGTGTTGTATCCAGAACAACTGTCACACCTTGTTAGTGTGGCCACCATCTTCTGAGTAATCTAATTGGTCCCTTTTTTTTTCACATTTCTCCTCTTTTTCAGTTTAACAGAGGCAGGTTGTTTGCCGCATGAACGGGTCGGTCCATTTGCACTCCTCGATGAACCATTCACAGTAAGTCACAAACCAGGACAGTATGGACTCGGGTGTGTGGACTCTTACTGACTAGCCCTGCCGGGTTGTTTTTCAGGTGGATAATGGTCTCCTCACAGCAACAATGAAGATGCGGCGTGATGTGATTTACAGCAGGCACAGGGAGCTTTGTGATCAGCTTTTCCAACACTGAGTCAGCCGGGTTTCCTCTGACGTGAAATACAAGCAGTTGATGGGCGACCCAGCACTTGTGATCAGAACAGTTTATAGATGTGTTCAAAGCTTCTCTGTTTTCTTTATAGACAGAGGAACATGTAACGTGCTCCAGTGCAGTGCAGCTTGATTGTATGCAGCAATGAAACAAATGCATTTGAATAAATGCATACAGATCAGCATGAGTGTTTTGTTGTGACTGCTTGTGATACAGTAGTCTCCACCTCCGGTTGATTTTCTGGCCCGCTAGTGCACATAACGTTACCCATTCCCTGTTGCCAGTCCCGCTCACCCCTGCAAAGCTCCTGTTGGTTGGAACCTTAGGTAGGGTATCTTTCAGATATCTGTGACTCCATAATACAAAAATGCCTAATACTAGTACCAGTACATGAACCCTGCAGGTACTCTTATTGTTAGTAATGGCATGGCCAGGACTACCATCACTGACTAGATAAGCTGCCGTTTGCGAAGGGAATCGACAACACTGTCGTTCTTCGCATCCGTGTCGAGAACCTGCAATGCCAGTCACCCAGCAACACGAGCAATAGGGCACAGCACAATGCGGAATTCTTAAAATGCACTCCAACATTGCGTGGTCAAGATGTGCACACCATGTGTTGGCCTCTTGAACCACTCGGAGCAGCATCCAAAGCAAAGCAATACGAGCGAAAATTAAGCAACAACAAAAGAATGGTCAGAAACACATTCACAATGTGACACACGCACCTTATCTATGATCCCATATTCCACTGCAGCGTCAGGTGTGAGATACATGGGACGCCGGATGTCATTCTCGATCGTCTCCTCTGACTTGCCTGTGTGCCGTGAGTACAATTTCACCTGCGCCAGAAACAGAGATGTCAATCACATTAGGGAATTAGGAAATAGCGTCCCTTGAAAACACAATAGAGAATAACGAGATAGTGACACTTGTTAACAATGTTTTCACCTTGCACATGATGGGCTTGTCAATGTCAGCGGCTTGTCAATGTCAGCGGCTTGTCAATGTCAATGCCATTGTCCAGGGTACATATAATTACACATGTGCCCCAGTCACTCACCAGTTCTGTCTAGAGATTCCGCACAACCTTTCGCTTAATGTCCACATCAGTGGCCTGCCAATATTGGCCGCCTGTTAACGTCACTCACTGTCTCTCTCTAGTATCCACGCACTCACCAGTTCTGTCTTCACGTTCCGCACTTCCTCGCGCATGATATCAATGTCAGTGGCCTGTAAACGCCCACTGACTTCTCTTGACATGCAGGGTGCAAGTGCACAGGTGCGCCTGTGAACGCCACTGACTTCTCTCTCTAATGCTCACCAGTTCTGTCTTCACGTTCCGCACTTCCTCGCGCATGATATCAATGTCAGTGGCCTGTAAACGCCCACTGACTTCTCTTGACATGCAGGGTGCAAGTGCACAGGTGCGCCTGTGAACGCCACTGACTTCTCTCTCTAATGCTCACCAGTTCTGTCTTCACGTTCTGCACTTCCTCGTGCATGATATCAATGTCAGTGGCCTGTAAACGCCCACTGACTTCTCTTGACATGCAGGGTGCAAGTGCACAGGTGCGCCTGTGAACGCCACTGACTTCTCTCTCTAATGCTCATCAGTTCTGTCTTCACGTTCCGCACTTCCTCGCGCATCATGTCAGTGTAAGTGGCCTGCTGATGCCAGCAATTTCAACCAATGTGAAGGCGTGGCAAAGCGTGACCCAATCACTCACCAGTTCTGTCTTCACGTTCCGCACTTCCTTCCGCATCATGTCAATATCAGTGGCCTGCCAATGGCGGTGCCCTGTAGACATCCCCGGCTTGCCTTTCAACCACTCACCAGTTCTGTCTTCACATTCCGCACTTCCTTCCGCATCATGTCAATTGATGTGCAAAAGTGACCCAATCACTCACCAGTTCGGTTTTCACATTCCACACTTCCTTGCGCATGATATCAATGTCAGTGGCCTGCTAATATCGGCGGCCTGTAAAGGTCTCTGACTTCTCTCTCTAGTACCCAATCACTCACCAGTTCACCCTTCACATTCCGCACTTCCTTGCGCACGATGTCAATGTCAGTGGCCTGTATGAGGAGTCAGTAATATCTCACTGCTCTAAGTATATGTACACATGTGCTCCAACCACTCACCAGTTCACCCTTCACATTCCGCACTTCCTTCCGCATGATATCAATGTCAGTGGCCTGCCCGCGGAACCGGGAAATGGGTTGCTTGAGCATGATGGAGGAGGAGGGCAGCGCCGACCGGTTGCCCTTAGATCCTGCAGACAGCAGCAGCGCCGCCTCCCCCCACGCGTTGCCCACGCAGAGTGTGAAGATCGGTGGCTTCACGTAGCTGGGAAATGGGAGAGGGGAGAGGTATGGGAGAAGGAAAGGGGTGGGGGAGCAGGGGGGAATGAATGAGGGACGGGGGGGCAATACAGGGGAAAAGGGGGAGAGTGGGGGTTTTGGAAGAGAGCGGTGAGATGGGTTGCTTGAGCATGATAGAGGAGGAGGGCAGTGCCGATCGGTTGCCCTTGGATTCAGCAGATAGCAGCAGCGCTGCCTTCCCCCACGCGTTGCCCACACACAGAGTAAGGATCGGCGGTTTCACATAGCTGGAGGGACCGAAAGAGAGCAGGGGCAACGGGCGGAGGATGATGGACAACAACAGGGGAAAGGGGGAGAAAGAGGGGATGACGGGGGACAGGCACATTGACAGGAGAAGGGGGGAGGACATGGGGAGAAGAGGAATGAGGGGAGGGCACAGCAAGGCCAAGAGGGCACAGCAGTGGATGGATGAAGAGAAGGGGAAGGGAGCGCACAGGCCAAGCGCAACGAAGGGTGAGGGGGGAAAGACTCACCGCATGGTGTGGTAGATGGCACAGACCGTGAGGGCAGGAAGGGAGGAGATAGGATAAGGAAGGGAAAGAGAGAGAGAGAGGGAGCACTGACCGCATGGTGTCCTAGATGGCAAAGGCCAAGACGGCAGGAAGGGAGGAGAGCAGGATACGGAAGAAAAAAATACCGAGCGGATGCAGGGCTGCGAGGGGAGTACTGACCGCATGGTGTCATAGATGGCAAAGGCCTCTGTCTCGTACCCTAGCTTCTCCCCATCCTGACGCACGACGAGGAGGGTGGGGAAGGGGGAGGGGACAGGGGGAAGAGGGGCGGCATATGGGGGGGGAAAAGCCAAGCCGGGAGGGAAGGTGAGAAGGTGGGGTGGACGCAAGATACAGCGACTGAACGAATGACGAAACGCGTGCCCTCACGAGCCCTCTTGGAAGGTTTACGTATGCGAGAAATTTCACGAGCCCTCACGAGTCGAGCCCCGAGTTACTATATAGAGAGATTGCAAGCACGAACCAGCGTGGGGAGAACCTTAGTTCTTTCTGTCTAGTTGACTTGTTGATGCTACACATGTGAGCGGGTTTCTTCGGGCAATAATGTACTGTAGAAACAGTACAGCAGTTCGGTCATCCATGCTGATCCGCCTGACTGTCTTATAACGAGGATACCCGCTACAGTACCTTGGTGGTTCCAGTCGAGTTGATATACATGTAAATCGGCTTTTCAGGGCTGTCGCAACTCCGCCATGGTGAGCTCAACTGCCCATCTTATAACGCGGATACCCACTACAGTAACCGTACCTTGGTGGTTCCCGTCGAGTTGATATACATGTAGATCGGTTTCTCAGGGCTGTCGTACTGCAGATAGAGCAGCTCCGCCATGATGAGCTCAGCCACCCGTCTTATAACGGGGATACAACAGTCCAGTACCTTAGTGGTTCCCGTAAAGTTGATTTACATATAAATCGGCTTCTCCGGGCTGTCGTACTGCATGTAGAGCAGCTCGGCCATAATGAGCTCAGTGACGGAGCTCCCTTTTCAGGGCTGACCTCTCTTATAACGCGGATATTCGCCACAGTACAGTACCTTTGTAGTGCCGGTAGAGTTGATGTACATATAAATCGGCTTCTCAGGGCTGTCGTATTGCAGGTACAGCAGCTCAGCCATGATGAGCTCAGTGACGGAGGGCTGACCTCCTTTATAACGCGGATATTCGCTACAGTACCTTGGTAGTGCCAGTAGAATTGATGTACATGTAAATCGGCTTCTCAGGGCTGTCGTACTGCAGGTACAGCAGCTCGGCCATGATGAGCTCAGTGACGGAGGGCACGAGCGACATGCCCAGGAACACAATGCGGTTCTTGAAGAGGTAGGACGGCAGGTCGGGTGGCGGCTGCTGTGTTGCCTCTCCCTTTTGAAACGGGATGACCTGCGAAGGGTGGGGGGTCGGGGTTGGGTAGGGGCGGAGGGTGGGGTAGGGGCGGCGGGGGAGGAACACAATGCGGTTCCTGAAGAAATACGGCGCCTCAAAACCGCGACACGAGACGACTTTTGAGGCGCCTGAGAACTGATTCTGCCGTATCGCCTGATCTTTCCAGATCCTTTCTGGAGGCTCAGAGGCTTTAAGTATTCATTGAGTTGGAGACTGAGAGCCTAAAAAATCCTCCGCGGAGCGTCTACAGGCTCTCGCTTTCCCAAAAACGACGACCTGGTATGATCTAGAGTTGAGCGATTCTTCGCCGTTACATACAACGCGCGGCCGCCACTGCTGCTGGAGGTGAAACGAGTGGCCCAGGCGGGAATGGCTCCAAGTAACGTCAGGGCGCTCCAACGAACGACAACAGTGAACACTAGGCCGTCGTTTTCAGGCTAATTTCGAGAATTTTTACAGGCACAGGACGACTACGATGATGCATTGCGGAAACACGCCACGTCTAGCGCCATCCCGATGTCTCAATAATCTACGCGGATATGCCAAGCAGCTGAAACAGCGTAACGCGCGATAACAGCATCCAGTGAAGTTGACCTAAAGCGCGGAAATGGCCGCGAACCTTGGGTATGCCGTGAACCCCGAGAATCAGTGAACCTAGAAATTTCCGTGAGCCTTGAGAACGCCGCGAATCTCTGGAGCCTCGATCGGGCTTGCCGCTGACGTAACCCGTGTAGCTGTCTAGGCCTTGGGATTGTCGGACGCGGTGCTGTTTCGCGGCAAACCTTCCTGTGGTGCCAGAGCTGTAACATTGCGAACGCACTTTCGCAAAAGTCTGCTGGAACGAAGCGAGCACTTGTCGCGTAAGGTTATTGAAACTGTGTACACCCTTCGCGAAAGGTTGCTGCCACGAGGTTATTTTCAACGCGATCAGCTTCTAGTGTATTAAGGGATCGGGTCGCGTGAACGACGACAAGTCAGCTTCAGTTTCCTGTGTCGTAAGCGCGATTCGGACATTCTTCTACTGTATTGGAGTTTCCTCTAGTTACGAAGCTACGCACCATCTCGACAACTCCTCGTCTTCCGCACGAATCCTCTCCCGCCACGTGTCGTGATCGCAGCACTCCCGTCGCCGAACGGAGGCTCTGGCCCATTAGCTGCTTCACGCCCACGTGGGCGCGGCTCGCCACGTGAGCATCGAGCTTTACCCTCGACGTTGATCGCGGCACGGCAACGGTTGAAACCGCGCCTTTCCGCGTGCGCGAATCGGCGCGCAGCGGCGTCGCGAGTGTGTGTGGCGCAACGGAGGAATGGCACACTAGGCGATCCATGCTCCGCAGTTACACCCCCGCTAAGAGACAGGACCACGCGGAAAGGCGACAAGAAGAAAAGCGGACCGGCGATCTAGACGCGACTGATGGGAATAGGAGTCACCCACTGCCGTACTAACGACACGAGATAACTAGTTAAGGGATAATTTGAGAGGTAGCAGTCTAGGAGGCAAGATGAGAGGCGGGGTGGGCACTGGGAGGCGGGGAAGCGTGTGCGCGGAGGGGAGAAAGGGGAATGCGGAGGCCGCGGGCGAGAATTTAGTGCGCGGGGATATAGCCATTTCACATCCACGGGAACGCCACGGCACGATCCACGTGGCGCGCTGGTATCGGTAGTGATTGCTTTAGAGCTGTTTGGTACTCTTCACAAACTCGCAACTATACGTAAAGAACTTCCTAAGCATTAAAAGCCCAGAACCTACCGCATACAGTGCTCTAGAACATAGAGCAATGGTGTGCACCAGGTCATGGGCCTGTTTGTAAGAGGTGCGCCCTAGTGTATGCTGAAGGTAACATACAGTAAATTTACCACAATGGCAAATCAAGAGCCGACAACACTTTTGATAGAAAACATAAAATCAATAAACTGGTGGAGTAAGACAAGAGTTACTGGTACTGGTGTCGTGACTGCCGCATTTGGTGCTGCTGAAACCACTGGTTCGGCTGATCCAGTGTTCCAACCACGTCCCCCTCCTCTTCCTCCAGCCTCTCACACTCCTCATCCTCACTCAGAGGATCCCTCCCATCGGGACCCACCATCAAGATATCCCATGAGTCAGCACTACCACCCGTGTTACTGTACATGTGACCGTTATTGTTACTGCTACTGTTGCTGTTACTGTTGCTGCTGCAGGCTTGGCCTGGAGCTGTGCTTCTTGCCTCCCCCGCACCTGCTTGGAGGGGGGTTTTAGCCCGTCCTTTGGCTGCTTTTCCTTTGCCAAGGAGAGCCAGAGGCCGCTTGAGAAACCCCTGCTTTGTCCCTGTCTTCTTCTGCTTCTCCCCAACCCTCTCCCTCTCCTCCTTGTCTTCTGAAACCTTGTATGCATTGCCTCCTTCCTCCTCCAGCTCTCGCTGATTCTGCTGATGCTGCTGAGGAGGAGAATCATACTGAGAGGATTGCTTCTCAGAGTGCTTCTCAGCTTTCGCGAACTTACCAGTTGCCATCTTTCCAAACAGAGACAGCACTGCCCCACTCTCCTTCCGAGAGCCTTCTTCCCAGTCAAGAGACCCAACCCGAGGAAACAACCCTTTCCTCCTTTCCTTCCCCTCTCTCCTATCCTTCCCCTCCTTCCCCTGCCCTTCTCGCCCTACCTCCTCCAGTTCCTCTGTGCATTCACTATACTCGGTCAATCCCGACCGAGGATACCGTTCTTTTTTCCCCTCCTTTTCCTCCTTTTCCTCCTTTTCCTCCTTTTCCTCCTTCCCCTCCTTCCCCTCCTTCCACTGCTTCCCGTCCTTCCCTTCCTTCCATTGCCTCGCCTCTTTTCCCTCCTTCCCCTCCTTCCCCTGCCCTCTTCTCTCCCTCTGTTCCTCCCTCTCCTCCCCTCCCTCCTTCCCAGAGCCCATTGACCCGGAGTTAGAGTCATCTGATTCTGACCGAGGAAAGGCCCCCTTCTTGTCTCTCTTTTTTTTCGTCGACTCAGAGATCTCTTCTGATCCCGTTGACCCAGAGTTAAAACCATCTGATCCTGACCGGGGAAAGAGCTCCTTCTTGTCTCCGGGCTTATTAGCACTCTTAGGCTCGGACAGGAATGCGTCAATGATGAAGCTGAGCTCTTCTTTCACAAAGTCACCTTCTTTGAGCTTCGGTCCGCCCTCCGCTCGCACAGGAATGCTGCTTGCACTGCGCCGGATGCGGCTGCTGCGGCCGCTGCTGATGCTGCTGCCGCCGTTGTTGCCTCCGCCGTTGCTGCTGCTGCTTCCACTGATTATGTCACTGCTGCTGCTGCCACTGCTGCCACTGCTGATGCCGCTACTGATGCCAGCAGCATGCTTTAGCCCCTTCGCAGTGACCATCTTCTTGAAGAGGAACGTTGCAGAGGATGATTCGGCAGCAGCAACCTCAGACCGCGAGTTTAGAGGCGCCTCAAAATCTTTTGTAGGGACCATCTTCTTGAAGAGAGACGTTGCAGAGGACGAAACTTCAGACCGCGAGTTTGGGTCGGCAGTCTTTGGCCGTATGCCCGGCTGACTCTTTGACCTGCCGTACAGGTCCTCCTTGCGTTGTGCAAAAAAAGCACGGTCAACACGGTCAACAGGGTCAACAGGGTCAACGCAATCAGCTTGGTCATCAGGGTCAATAGGACTACCTTGGTCAACGCAGTCAGCAGAGTCAACGCATTCAGTGCTCGCCTCATGCTCCTTCTTACCCCATTCACCAGGCCTCCCTCCATTGAACTTTCTCCCAAGCACTTGAACGCTCGCCATCCTTCCCCACGCCATCCCCTTCCCCTGCCCCTTGCCCTGCCCTTTCTCCTGCCCGTTCCCATTCAAGCTCTCTCCATCCAATCCATACTGCCCGCCACTCCCATCTCTCCCCCCTCCCCTCCGCCTATCCTGCACAGTAACAGCTTTCACAAACCCTCCCTTGCCAACCCTCCTGCTGCCACCTTTCCCACCCTCCCCAGACACAGCCTTTCTGACTCCCCCGGCCTCACCATTCCCAAGCCCCTTCCTCCAATCTCCTCCATCGCCCCCTCTATCGTCTTCCCCACCCTTCCCAAGCTCTGCCAGCGCGCCAGACATAAGCCCCTTCCTCATCGCCCGTTCTCTCACAGTCAATCTCTTTCCCATCTCCCCCTCCTGCCCTGCAAGGGACGCACCCTCAGGCTTTTGACGCGCCTCATACGTCATCTCCCCCTCTCGCTGGTTTGGGAAGGAAACCGCCTTTCTGCTTTGGACCGTCTCAGAACCACCAGCCAGCCTCTCCCTGCTGCACTCGTGCTAAGCAGCCACCAGCAGACCCCCCAGCAGGTTCGTTAGTAGCTGCCCCAGGTGTGGTACAACCTCGAACGTTGGGAACAGGAGCTACAGTGATTGAATCCTTGTCGTTATGTGGAGTGGGATCAGGGAGGGTAGGATCACCAAGGCAGGACGAGCTTCTCCCCGGGTGAAAACTTTCACCTGCCCGTTTGAGGCTGCCTGTGGGGTCGGTGTCGAGAAAGTCGGCAATATCTGGGGGAATGACGACCGAGGCGAGGGGGAGGGGGGTGCCTGTTTCCAGATGGAAGGTAAGCAGAGAGGCGGAGGGCAGCCGAGTGAGACGGGACTTTCGTGGTGGCGGTGGTTGCCCCTGCTCCTGCTCTCCCTCTTGCTCCTGCTGTCGCTGCTGTCGCTGCTGCTCCTGCTCTTGCTCCTGCCCCTGCCTCTGTTTCTTCTCAACAATCATCTCTTCTCCCCCTTCCCAATCTCTTCGACTGCCACACTCGCGACTCTCCCACGCACTCCTGGTTCCATTCTTGCTGCTCTCCTCACTCCCCTCACTCCGCACACTCCCCTCACTCCCTGCAGCAGAACCCCCATCATCTACAGCACCTCCTAACATTCCCTTCTCACTCACACAAACAGCATCATCCGCATCTACCCCTCCATGCCTTACCTCCTGCCTCTCCTGCCCGACTCCCCTCGCCTCTCGTCCCACACCCTTCCATCTCCGCCCTTCCACCTCTCCCCTCATCATCACTCCTACTGCATCCCACGCCATTCTCACCTCCTCCTTATCCACCTCCCATATTTCATTCCGCCTCTGCCCCACCTTGCGCCCATCCCTGTCCTCCTGCCGCCCCCAGCCATCCAACACTCTCTCCTCTCCAAACCCCCCTCCTACGCTTTTACTCCGCCAGCCCTTACCCCGGACCTTCTCTTCTCTCTCCCCTCCGCCCTTGCTGCCCTCTCCCTCTTCCCGTCTGCTTTTATACCTGGCACCTTCTCCTTTCTTCCCCTGCCGTTCCTGCCGCTCCTGCTGCTCCAAATCCTTCTTCTGCCCCTGCCGCGTCACAGGGGGGAAGGGTCTGGCCTTTCGACCGTCACTTTCCCACTCATCCACGCCCATTCCAGTCGACTCAAAAGGCTCCTCCCGTTGCCACTCATCTGCACCTGATCGCCCCACAGGGGTCAACGGTCTTGCGTCTCTATTGCCTCTGCCTTTGAAGCCAATTCCTCTGGAACGGCTTTCAATCCCCTCCACACCTTCTTCTTGGCCCCATTCTTCAGCTTCCTCATCGTCCAACTCGTCTTCCTCCTCATTCTTTCCCTCTCCCATGTTCTCCACATGACTGCTTGGCTTCTTCAGCCCAAGGACATAGCCCGTCGAGAAGCTTCGAACGTGGCCCGGCTTGAGGCCTTGTGCGCGGGGCAGCTTCTTCTGGCCTGGTGCATGGCCTGTGTTCTGTGTACCTCGCATGTTGGCTCGGTGGGAGGAGTCTTGACTCCCATGGAGCGTCCTTCGCTGTTGTGGCTTCCTTTGCTGCTGCCCCTGCTCCTCCTCCTCATCCTCCTCCTCCTCCTGCTGCTGCTCATGTGCCTGGTGCTGTATCTGCTGCACTCGCTGCTGCCTCTGGTGCTGCTGCTTCTCCGCGTGCCACTCCCCAACATCCTCCTCCTCCTCCATACCCTCTCCATCATACATCAGCCGTTTCATCAGACCTCCTGTCACCTCTGCTCGCATTCTCGTCTCACCTAGCCTCCTCTCCTCCCTCACCTCCCCATTCACCACATCCCTCTGTTGGGTTCCCCTCTCCCCTCCTCCCGTCTTCAAACCACTATGAAAACCATCCAAACGACCGGAACCACTGGAAGCACCAGAACCACCGGAAGCACCAGAACCACCCAAACGACCCGAACCAAAAGAACCAGTAGAACCAAAACCAGCCCCACGGCCCCCATCCCCTCGCCCTCGCCCGCGCCCAACCCATTCATCCTCCGTGGCAGTTTCCTGTGCTGAGTCAGACAGCTCGAGGTCCAGCATGGCAGTTGCTGCTGCTGGCATCATCGCTCGTTCCTCCCCCTGCACTTCCTCCCCTCTCCAGGCCTCATTCGTAACGTCATCCATAGCATCATCATTTCCATACAGATCCGACTCGTGTAAGCACTCCCTCTGCACTGCACCCTGCGTCTCTCCCTCCTCCACTTCCTCCTCCTCCTCCTCCTCGTCCTCTTCTCTTTCCCCTCCAGCCCCATCTCCTGGGCCGTTGGCAGGGGAAAAATTCCGAGGGGATTCCGAGGAGGAGAATTGCTGGCCGTTGAACGGTAAATGACAGCTGGGTGAACGGAAGTGGGAATGCTGGCCGGAGAGAGAGTGGGCGCGAGTGTGGGAGTGAGTATGGGAGTGAGTGTGGGAGTGAGTGTGAGAGTGAGAGGGAGCGGGGTAGCACGAGGACTCCACAGAGGAGTTTCGGAGGCGAGAGAGTGCGGCCGTGCGGCCACTCTCCCAGGAGAATTCGCTGGTAAGTACGGCAGCTGGCAGCGCAGACATGGTGCGACGGGGGCGAGCATGCAAGGGGACCCCCACTGGACGCTGGGAATGGCGCTGCTGTTGTTGTTGTTCCTGCTGCTGCTGCCGCTGCTGAAGGTAGGGCAGGTGGTGGACTTGGGAGGGTTGCCCTTGGCCTGCCAAAGCAGCAGGCATGGGGCCGCGGCCCAAGCGACTCGCGTCCTCCCACTCTTGATACCGGCCTGTGAACTCCTTGGGGGTTTTCTGAGGCGCCTCAAAAGCAGCAGGCTTGGGGCCATGGCCCCAGCGTCTCGTGTCCTCCCACTCTTGATACCGGTCTGTGGGATACTTGGGCGTTTCCCCCTCCCACTCTGCGTCCCCCTCCACCCAATCCGCGTCCCTCTCCACGCACTCCGCGTCCCCTGCCGCCCACTCGCCCTCGCCCTCCACCCACTCGCCCCTGCCCTCGCCTTCGCTCGCACCCTCATCCTCGTCTCTTTGCCCCTGCTCTCTGGTAATTAACAACTTCCCCTTTCGGTAACTTTGGCCATACATAGCCTGCTGCTGCTGCAACTGCTTCCTCTGCTGTGGCCTGTGTTCGCCCCTCGCAGCAGCGGACAAGGAGGATTGAGCAAGGCGGCTAGTGGGAGCCTGCCGGCGCGGGGGCGAGGGAGAGGGAGAGGCCGAGGAAGGGGGCGCAAGGAAGGCGACGGGTCCTGAGGCGGACTGAGCATGGCCATGATGGGACGCTCGGTACTGATGGGACATTGTGGACGGTTGGGATGACTGATGCTCATTCGCTTGGTAATAAATATCATATCGTTGTTGGCCTTGCTGCTGGTTTCGTAGCTCCTGCTGTTCCTCCCACTGTTCCTCCTCCTCCCCCTCCTGCTGCTGCTGGTGCTGATGGTGAAACAGCCGCTGCTGCTGCTGCAGCCACACCAACTGCTCCCTTCCTGTCTTGTTCCGGGCCTTTCTCGCAGCTGCAACACCGAAGTCATTAGTGATGCCCTTCGCAGCAGCACCGCTCTGATACTCATAACCACCACCATCAACCGGGCCTTCTCCCTCCGCGCTAGAGCAACGAACAGGACGATTATAGCCTTGCTTCGCTGCAGGAGCATTGACGGATCGCGCAGGACTGTTGCCCGCCAGAGTGACGTGGGGAGAGCTGTTGCGGAGAAGGTGGCTGTGACGGTTGGGGCTGACTCCGGCAGGATTCGAACCCGGGTCTTCAACAGCAAGTCTGGCGATTTCAGCAGCGGTCATGGAGACAGAGCGGTGGCGATGGCGAGCGAGAAAGGGCTTGCGGTGGGACTGCAAGGGGTGGAGAACGGTGCACATGGGGACAGAGGAAACGTGGTTCAATGGAAGCATGCTTCATGCGTTGTTACAATGTTCAATGCTTCCATTCTGCTTAGTGTTGAGTTTTAGCGCCTGGAAGGACCAAGCGAGATATTATCGAAACGTTTGGTATTAATATGGAAGGGTGGAGTGCAAGGGAAGTTATCTTTTCTTCCTACGGACGCCAGCTTCCGTCCGCGACGAAGAGGTTAGGAAAAGGAGAACGAGGGACGAGGTGAGGAGGGAAACAGGCCGCACCTCTCGCAAGCCACCACCAGTAGCACCGCCAGCAGTACCAGCCGAAGCTGCAGCTGCAGCAGCGCTAGCAGAAGCTTCATCCGCCACGGCAGCGAGAGCAGCAGGTAACCCTCCCCGCGAATACGACCTTCCCCGGTCCAGCACTGCCTTGACTGCCAGGGGGGGACTCTCCATCAGCATCTCGTCGAGACGCATCGAGCCGCCTCGCGAATTGCGCCGCTCCTTTCCCGGCGCGCTTCCGCGTGCGGCGGCGACTCCTGTTGACGGCGGCGCAGCGTCAGAAGTTGACGCTCTGGGCAATTCCAAAGCGGGTGAGGGCTCAGAGGCGGACGGTAATGGGAAAGTGGAGGACCTCGGCGTGACTGGCGGCTGCTCTGCCGCTGTTGTTGCCGCCATGGCCATCGCTCCTGAGGCTAATTCGTCCGTTACTAATGAAGCGCCTCTCGACCTTCGCCTTTCTCTACGTTCTTTATTCATCCCAGCTCCAACCGAGGGGTCCGCAGGAGTCCGTGTGCGAACGTTTTGAAAATCTCGCCGTACTGGCGAACTGTATTCTTCTGGGTAACCCTGTTTCTCCCCCGTTAATTGTTTCTGGGACGGCGTCTTTCGGCCAAATTTTTGGCCGGTTTTTTTGCTAGTACCTCTCCTGACACACCAGACGAGTTGACGCCTACGTTTTCGATTTTTCCTAATTTGTCATGCCTGGCATGCGAAATTGGCAGCACAGCGTCAAGTTTGTCTTCCAGGAGGAAGATGTGCGGGACTTCGCAGCCGGCAGCCATGCATGTGCGTCTCCAGTCGCATAAAATGCACGCATTCGGAAGCTAGTTTCGAACAAGAACACGTTCACACTCGAGAATTGTAGGAATACTTCGGACGTCGAGTAAGAACAACGCCGCTGCGTCATAGGCTCGATTTGAAGCTAACGCGTTTCACACGCTTCGGCAATAGACTCAGAACGAAATGTTCATCCTTTCGGCTGCAAAAATGGTTTGGGAAAAGCCGCCATGGAGTACTCGTGGACAGAAGAACTGTAACCTCTGTCACCCAACAACACTCATAACGTCGCTGGCGACGCGACTTGGGAGTTCTTTCTTGAGAGTTGGAAGGAGACACTCCTGAGGGACACTCAGGGACAATCCCGAAGGACCCCTTGCTTGGGATTCTAGAGTCTCGCTGAAATTGACCCCGCTGGTGGAGTCACAACAGCCACTGGCACCGACTTTCAGGGCTGATTGCTTGCTGCCAGCTGGGAAGGCAATCTCAAGGAGCCTCCTTCCCACACTCCCCCCCCCTCTCCTGCCCCAGTTTCGCTGGTGGATGCAAAATATAGGGTAACCAGTAGCGGCCTCATACCGCAACGCATTGGGCCAACTCGAACCGTCGTCTTTATTTCGCCACACCTCGCTTTCAGCCTTGGACCTGCGGGAAACAGAATGCATTGCCGGACGCGAGACGCGACTGGCCAAGTTGGTGGGCCAATCTGACGTGGCGTCGTAACGTGGTGCCACATGTGGTTGCGCAGTGGATGGCGCGGTCGCAGTCATCGCAGCCAATGGGCAACTGGGAAGAATCCATCATTCTTGCACCAACCTTCTACAGAAAAGGGTAGCCATGAGATGTTCGTTATACTACTGGTCATATAACCAAGCACATTACACCTCAAACACACATAATATAATACGTGAATTGCACGTCCCTATAATCTCACCCTAAACCCCGAACACAGTCAAATCTCCAAAATTTTGGGGTATACTCTTCATCAAGCATCCCAGGAATCCTCAAGTCAAAGACTCATTCGACCACAAGGTGGTGAGAGGTTTCGCGCGCGTCAGAGCAGCGACGTTTCCGGGCTGCAGGCTATGACGAGCCCATGCTAAGGGCTTTATGGTGCTGCAGCCCAAGTCGACCTAAACATTAGGCCGTTTCACGGGCTTGAAGCCCATGTCGACCTAATGTTAAAGTCGAAATCAGAGCTGCAGCACATTCTGACCTAGTAAGCAGGTCGTTGGTAGGGCTGCATTCTCAATCGACCTTAGCAAGGGGTCCTGTCAAGGGTTGCAACCCATTTTGACCTAGTAAACAGGTCGTGGGTAGGACTGCATCCCTAGTCGACCTTATGCTAAGGTCAAAATCGGTGCTGCGGATCATTTTGCTCGTTCCTAGGTTGATATGCCTAGGAAGACCTAGTGCTAGGGTCTTTTCTAGGGCTGCAGCCTTTTCGACCTAATGCAAGTGTCGTTTCCTGCGCCGCAGCCCAAGGAAACCTAGGCATTAGGCCGTTTAGGATGCTGCATTTATGACGAGATAAGCCTAAGGGGAGGTGGAATGGAACAGTGGGGGAAAGGGGAGTGAACGGTGGGTAAGGGGGAGTGGAACGATGAGCTAAGGGGAGTTTGAATAGTAGGGGAAAGGGGATTTAGCAGTAGGGAAAGGGGAGCTCGTTTGAATAGTGGGGGAAGGGGAGTTCGAGCAGTGGTGTGATATCAGTGGTGTGACATCAGTGGTGTGACATCAGTGGTGTGACATCAGTGGTTGGTGTCCGCTCCTCACCTGTCGAGCTACTCCCAAATTCTTGTGTATACCCCGTCATCACGTCTCCGTTTTTCCGATTCCTGTGCATTCCACTTCCTTCCTGCATTTGAGTGGTAAATGCAGACCAGGATATAATAAGTAGCCACAGGTCGCCCTTCGAGAGTTTGCCAGAGCCAGCCAGCAGATCCCCGAATTGCATCATGGCAAGCAGCTCACAACATCAGAAGGAGCTAAATCTGAAGGTATTAGAGCCGCCCGTTACCCCATATTTCCAGCGCCCTACTCTCTCCTGCTTCTGCTGCCTTTGCTGTTTTCTTTGGTTTCCCAGAGCAATCCTTTAATTGCCTTGATCAGCTCAGTTGGCGATGCTGGTAGGAGTTATACAAGAGAGTTTGTTCTTATGACTCCTATCCGTGTTCTTATGACTACCTCTATGCAGGTGCAGGAACTGCAAGTGGCCTGTGCTGAGCTTTCCTCTCTGCCTTCTGGTCGGGTAAGCCCCACTTGTCGTGTTCTGCTGCAGCTGTGCATCGTTTATGCGTATGGAGGTGACTTTTAAGTCGACTTGAAATTTTCTGCCTCGTTTATGGGTATGGAGATTACCAAGGGCATGAGTCAGACTCTTTGTTCGAATACTGGGTTTGCTGATTGTCCCTCAGCTTTGCCAATCACCTGCTGACTGCACATCAGAAAAATGGTGCAATGTTTTTGCAGACTACTTATCAGAAACGTGGTGCGATTTTCTTCCTCATTGACAGCAGTATGCTCAAAGAGAAGAAGCAAGGTAGGAAGAAGTTACGGTGGAGATTTTTGTCCTTTCCAGCTTGACATGCTCTGCTGGCCTTTCTTCTAAACTCTGTGGTAACATCCATGTTTCTTCGTTTTTTTGTGATTATTGATATCTTCTCCCGTCCACACCCTGTGCAGAGGAGCTGTCGAGACTGTCAGCAACTAATGCCAAATAAATAGGCGCGAGCACACTGGAGGCGCCTAAGTATGCACACATGTTTTTGGTTTTCATGTAGAAAAGGATAAGCCAACAACTTAACAACATGTTGCTGTCAATTCAACCAAGAAAGTAGCAAAAGGAAGACTATTTTTCCATTGTATATCTACTAGATCCAGTGTAAATTGCCACCCTGAAAGCAACATACCGTGTCTGTTGAAGCAGCAAATCACAACGTTTTTCACAGGAGGGGTCACATAGGCCTGATCCTCACAACTGGAAATACTCCCTCAACACTGGACATTTCCTAGGTTCCATGTGCCCGACACATCCCTAATAAAGCCAGAACACACCTAACCTAGGAAACTCCGCCTTCCGTTGCGCCGCCATCCCAGCAGCATTGTGGGCTTAGCAGCAGCCGTTCCGTCACATTCCACAGTTCGCACTCACGCCAGTCCACGCAATCATCTGCTTTATTCCCATCTCAGTCAACTCAGGCTCTCTTCTTCGCGTCGCGACGATCCCTTGCCGAACCTCGTTCCTGGTTTGAAATGTGAATCTGCTGGTTAGTACTAGGCTCGGAGACCTACTCCCTTCTGCATTCCTAAGTTCGTCCACGTGGTGTTTCCTGAATGGTCCAACATTACGCTTTTCGGTCCATGCTGCTGGAGCAGTCCCCAGCCGCCACGTGGCAACCACCCCACACTTGGCGCAACAGCGACGCGTCGGAAGACTCCTTTTCCCGCGTGAACCACAACTTTCCATTCCCGCAAGCCCTCGGCGCAACCTTCTTCCCTGCATTCTCGACCATCCGATTTCTCGGGCACTTCTTGGATTCGCATCCAGACCGTTCGCTCACCGACATGGCTCCGTCGTCGCACGTGGTCATCGCGAGCGTTACCGTGTGCGCGGTCGTCGCCATTGGGGTGTGCTACTTGTGCATGCGGAAGAAACGGAGAGACGGGGATGGGTACGACGGACCTGGTCAGGCGTCCGCAGAGACAGGTACAGCTACAGGTGGAGCCGCAGCGGCTGCTAATGGCGAAACCCGCGTGCCGCTTCTCTTTTCTCAGGTACGAATATTTCTGCGCCTGCAGCTGTCGCCTTCGTACTTTTCCCATTTCCAAGTAATTTCTGAGGGACTCGTTTTTTCTACAGGCAAGCAACACAATGAGAAGAATGAAAGCATGGCTATGCAATCTTCTCCTCTCCCACTCCCCTCCTTCCTTCCCCCCACCCCCCCACCTCCCCCCCCACCTCCCCCCCCACCTCCCCCCCCTCTCCCCCCCCTCTCCCCCCCTCCCTTTCCCCTTCCTTCCCCACCTGCTTCCTTTCAACTCGTTACCAACCCCCCTCTCTTCCCTTCCCCCTTCAACACCCCCCCCCCCCCCCCCCCCCCCCTCTCCCCCCTCCCCCCCACTCCGCCCTTTTCCCCAACCCCCTCAGGACTGGGGGGACGAGAGCGAGGACATAGAGCAGCAATCCTTCCCGCCGTCGCAGCCCTCCGCCTCCGCGGACCAGCAAGCAGCCGCGGAAGCAGAGGCAGCGGAGGCAGCGCGGGCAGTGCGGCAGAAGCAGTGGGAGGAGGAGCGGCGGCAGGCGGAAGCAGAGGCGGCAGAGGAGGCAGCAGCGGCGGCTGCTGCTGCGAATAAACGCGCGAGGAAGGAGGGAGGGGGGAGGCAAGGGAGGGTGAAGTTTGGGGAATCCACTGTGAGAGAGTATGATGCAGGGGAGGGGATGGAGGTGGAGGGGGACGCAGAGGCAGCCGCTGCTGCTGCTGCTGCTGCGGCTGTTCCTGCAGCTGCTGTCCCTGATGCTGCTGCTGCTGCAAAGAAGAAGGCTGCTAGGAGGGAAGGTGGGTTTGGGGCAGGCAGGATTGCGAATGACTGATGGAGAAAGGACGAGAATGGGGTAGAAACCAGGCATTGGGGTAGGCAGCAGGTGAGTTTCTAGTCGACTAAAAAATCACTACTCTACTTTTTAAGGCGCCTAAAAGTACCACCTTAGCTAGGCGAATGAGTTGTGGAGAAAAGACGAGAATCGGGTAGTTGGCAGGCATTCCAGCAGGCAGGCATTTAAGCAGGCAGGCAGCAGGGTGGTGCTGAAGAACGAGAGGCTGGAGGGCGGAGGCTTGAAGCATGTGTGCTTCTCCTCACCTCACAGCCACCCCCGTTCAGCATACCCCGTTTGGCATACCCCGTCTGCCTAACCCCGTGCCAGATTCATGCGCCACACTGGTGTTAGAGGTGATCAGTGGGCCGGCAGCAGGCAGCAGGGTGGTGGTGCTGAAGAACGAGAAGCTGGACGGCTGGGGGCTTGACTTGAAGCATGTGTTCTTGTCCTCGCATCCACCCCTTCTCTGTACCTCCTCTGCCTATATCCTTTGCCCATCCAGGCGCCACACTGGTGTTAGAGGCGATGAGTGGGCCGTCATGGAGCAGCAGGGTGGGCGGTGTTCAAGAACAAGAAGCTGGACGGCTGGGGGGGGGGGCGTGATGCATGCACGTTTGGCGTCCTCACCTCTACCCCCTTTGCATTCCCCGTGACCATAAACCCTTCGCATGCGCCTTCCCTCTCCTTACCCCCTTTCAATACACAGGCGCTACACTCGTATTGGAGGTGATCAGTGGGCCAGCGTCAGGAGGCAAGCTGGTGTTGAAGAATGAGAAGCTGGAGCCATGGCCGTCAGCGACCATAGGGCGGGTGAAGGCCAACGACCTGCAGCTGAACGATGGGGAGGTGTCCAGCAAGCACGCCTACGTCACCTGGAATGCTCTGGTGCGTTAGCTGTGGTTTCCGTTGGTGATTTCTGAGTTGATGTGACTCAATCCATCAGGGCTGCCGAAAAATTTCCCTCAAGCCCCCTCGCTCCACGCACCCCACCTGTTTGCTTTGCATGCGAACGCTCTGCTCTGTCCCATACCACACACCCACCCCAAGCAGTCGGGGCGGTGGGAGGTGGTGGATCGCGGGTCGCTGAACGGCACGCTGCTGAACGACGAGGCGATCAATGCCGAGGCGGATGAGGAGGGCGAGCGCACGGAGGGGCGGCCGTGCCAGCTGGCGGATGGGGACGTGATCACGTGTGGGTCGCAGTCTCGCATTCTGGTGCGTGTGTGTGTTTGTTTGTTCCCCCTTTTTTTTTTCTTTCCCCGTAATGTTATCGTTTTCCATCTTGTTGTATGTGTTACTGGAAATTCTCAGAAATCACATGCAGGTTGCAGATGCACGCATTTTATCTGATGGCAATGGCATCCCTTCCTCCCTCCCCCTCTCCCCCATTCCCTCCCTCCCTCCGCCCCGCCCTCCCTCTTTCCGCCCTCCCTTCCCCCCCAGGTGCGACTACTGGCGGACACGAGCAAAGTGGAGCACCCATGCCCCGATGCCCCGTGTGACATCGCCATAGCAGCTGACCCCATGCGGGCACGCAAGGGAGGCAAGCCACTTCCAATGGAGGATGTGCCCCTGTGCGAGTGGCCGCTAAGGGGCCTACAGGACGTGAGTGTGACGGGGTGTGAGTGACCTTGTTGATGCGTGCAGGATGCTATGGTGGGGGAGGGGATGGAGACTGTGAGTGTGTGGTGTGCTGCCAGCAGCAAGGGAGACAAGCTGCTGCCCATGGCGAGGACGTGCCTCTGTGCGAGTTGCCACTCAGAAGCTTGCTGGAAGTGAGTGTGTGGATTGTGAGTGTATTGAGTTGGTTGCTGCAGGCTGTCAGTGCATAAGGTGCAATCTTTACACCACCCTCCATTTCCACACACATGTATCCGTTCTTTTGTACCTCGCACCGATCGTTTGTTTCTGCACTGTAACTCTTTGCCTTACCCTCACATGGTGCCTCGCTTTCCCCTCACTTTCTTCCCGTCCCCCGCACCATGTGTATGTGTGCGGGCTTCAGATGGGCATTTGCTGTGTGTTTGTGTTTGGCTCCCTTCATATTCACTTTTGATACTCCCGTGCTTGCCCTTGCCTTCTCTCCCCCCCTCTTCCCCCCTCTCCCCCCCCCCCCCCCCCGTACATGTGCGCGGACTACAGATGGGCATCTGCTGTGTGTTTGACGGCCATGCGGGCAGGCAGTGCGCCGACAACGTGAAGAGGTGAGGCCACTGCTACTGCTGGGGGGTCTGTTCTGGTGTCATTGTGTGGACCGTGACAATGGTGAGTGTGACATGGGCATCTCAGATGGTGGAGTGGTAGGATACAAACCAAATATTGGACATTAAGTTGTCAAAGATTTCAGAGTACTATTTTTTTGCCTTAATTATGAAGTTATCATTTCTGAAGCTGACATCTATTTATTCCCCTCACCATTTTTTGAACTGGGTGTGAATACCCACAACAAGGTTGGTGCAGGTTCATGTTGTGATGTGGATGTGGAGGGATTTCATAATTGGCAGGAGGCCGATGTGGATGGAGCATTTTAAGTGACCCACAACGAAAAAACTCTTGAAGATGCTTCTGAACTTGATAACGTACCTCTAACAAAAAAAAAAACCACAAAGACATACCCCACACAGTCCGTTTGACACGCCAAAAAGTTGGAGAGAGGTATGACATTAACGATAGGATGACAGGCGTTACACTCGTCAATGATTGACATCCTCTCGTTAATGTCATGCCTCTCTCTAACTTTTCGGCGTGTCAAACGCACTGTGTAGGGTATGCCTTTGTTTTATTGTTGGAGGTACATAATCAAGTTCAGAACCATCTGCAAAAGTTCCTTCCTTGTGGTCACTTGAAATGCTCTAACCACATCACCCTCCTGCCAATTATGAAATCCCTCCACATCCACATCACAACATGAAGCTGCACCAACCTAGTTGTGAGAATTCACACTCCATTCAAAACAGGGTGAGGGGCATAAGCAGATGCGAGTTTGAGAAACTATAACTTTGTAACAACGGCCAACGGACAATACTCTGAAACCTTTGACAATTTACAGCCCGATGTTTCCTTTGCCCAATGTTTGCTCTGTAACTTCAGGCGAGCACGTGGCGGTGGCCATGAGCTGCAAGAAATACTTCTGCCCACACCCTCTCCCCATCCTCTCCACACCCCCCCCAACCCACCCTTCTCCTCTTCCCTTCCTCAGAATCTTCCCTGAAAAGATATCCCAGGAGATGCTGAAGGGGGGCAAGCACGTGGTGGTGCGCAATGCGCATCAGCTTCCAGCACCACCGCTGCCCATATATCCTTCTCTCCCTTCGCCTTATCCCTTCCCATCCCTTGCCCAACCCACTTCCCGCCTCTCAGAATCTTTCCGGACAAGCTATCTCAAGAGCTGCTGAAGGGGGGCAAGCACGTGGTGGTGCGCATGAGCTGCAACGCGACCGATGTGCTGCGAGCAGCCTTCAAGGCGACAGAGGAGGAGCTCAATAACGAGGATGAGGGCTGCACTGCCACTGTGCTGCTCGTGTGGCGGGCCTTCCAGCCGCCCCACCGCGTGTGGGTGCAGGCAGGCAATCTCGGAGACTCACACTGCGTGCTGGGGTAAGAAGACGGGTGAGGGCCGTTGCAGCCCTGGATGGTCTGAACGGGGCACAGTGAAAGGTTGATGGCTGAGGAGAGGCCCTTCCAGGCGCCCCACGGCATGTGTGTGCTGTGCAGGCGACTGGAGGGACTCACACCGCGTGTTAGGGTAGTAAGACGGTGACTGCTGATTTGAGTCAAGAGAGTCTGTTGAGGCGCCTTGCATCATTTGTTCGGGTAAGACGCAGCCGCTGCTGCAGCTGTACGCAACCCAGTTTGGATGATGAGCGCAGCTGCAGCTGCAGCTGTACGCAACCCAGTTTGGATGATGAGCGGAGCTGCAGCTGCAGCTGTACGCAACCCAGTTTGGATGATGAGCGGAGCTGCAGCTGCAGCTGTACGCAACCCAGTTTGGATGATGAGCGGAGCTGCAGCTGCAGCTGTACGCAACCCAGTTTGGATGATGAGCGGAGCTGCAGCTGCAGCTGTACGCAACCCAGTTTGGATGATGAGCGGAGCTGCAGCTGCAGCTGTACGCAACCCAGTTTGGATGATGAGCGGAGCTGCAGCTGCAGCTGTACGCAACCCAGTTTGGATGATGAGCGGAGCTGCAGCTGCAGCTGTACGCAACCCAGTTTGGATGATGAGCGGAGCTGCAGCTGCAGCTGTACGCAACCCAGTTTGGATGATGAGCGGAGCTGCAGCTGCAGCTGTACGCAACCCAGTTTGGATGATGAGCGGAGCTGCAGCTGCAGCTGTACGCAACCCAGTTTGGATGATGAGCGGAGCTGCAGCTGCAGCTGTACGCAACCCAGTTTGGATGATGAGCGGAGCTGCAGCTGCAGCTGTACGCAACCCAGTTTGGATGATGAGCGGAGCTGCAGCTGCAGCTGTACGCAACCCAGTTTGGATGATGAGTGGAGCTGCAGCTGCAGCTGTACGCAACCCAGTTTGGATGATGAGCGGAGCTGCAGCTGCAGCTGTACGCAACCCAGTTTGGATGATGAGCGGAGCTGCAGCTGCAGCTGTACGCAACCCAGTTTGGATGATGAGCGGAGCTGCAGCTGCAGCTGTACGCAACCCAGTTTGGATGATGAGCGGAGCTGCAGCTGCAGCTGTACGCAACCCAGTTTGGATGATGAGCGGAGCTGCAGCTGCAGCTGTACGCAACCCAGTTTGGATGATGAGCGGAGCTGCAGCTGCAGCTGGGCCCTTCCATCAGAGCACGGTTGATGGCAGATAGACGGGCCTTACAGCCGCCCCACCTTTTGAGGCGCCTAAAAAAAACCGCGAGACATGAGATGACTTTTGAGGCGCCTCAATAGTCGTCACAGAGCACGGTTGATGGCAGATAGAAGAGCCTTCCAGCCGCCCCACCTCTTGTGGGTTCAGGCAGCGAATTCCAAAGAATTGGAGTGCGAGTGAGGAGGGCGTGGTGCAGATGACAGAGGACCACCGGCGGACAGGGCCCCTTTTCTCATGTCACTAAGTTCCATTCCCAAGCATCCCCTCCCATCCCCACCTATCTCCTCGGAACCCCTGTTGTGAGCAGTTTAGGAAGTTCGAGTGAGGAGGGTGTGGTGCAGATGAGAGAGGACCACCGGCTGACAGGTCCCTCGTCTCATCTCACTCCCTTCCTTCCTCCCTCGCATCCCCACCCCTCCCAACCCCTCCCCACCCATCCAGTCTGGGCAGTGCAAGCGAGGAGGGAGTGGTGCAGATGACAGAGGACCACCGGCTGACAGGGCCCGTGGAGAAGGTCTCCTTCCCCTGCACTCCCCTCGCATTTCCACCTCTCCCCACCCCTCCCAACGCCTCCCCACCCCTCTCCAACCCTCCAGCCTGGGCAGTGCGAGCGAGGAGGGAGTGGTGCAGATGACGGAGGACCACCGGCTGACAGGCACCTCGTCTCATGTCACACCCTTCCATCCCATCCCACCCATCCCCAACCATCCCCTCCCCTCGTATCCAGTCTGGGCAGTGCGGGCGAGGAGGGAGTGGTGCAGATGACAGAGGACCACCGGCTGACAGGGCCCGTGGAGAAGGGGCGGCTGGCGTCCATCGGCAAGCCGATGCGAGATGGGGACACTCGGCTGTGCGGTGAGACGAGGGAATTACGTGGCGAGATGGGGGCATTGCCTTGGGACTTGAAGGGAAGGCAATGTGGGGGACGGAACGGGCATGTGGGAGATGAGAGGGGCATGTGGGAGATGAGAGGGGTCACCGGGAGGGAGCGGTTGAGAAGGGGCGTCTTGCATCCATGGGCAAGCCCATGTGTGATGGGGACACACGGCTGTGTGGTGAGATGATGGGGATTATGTGGTGAGATAAGAGGGGGGACGGAATGTGGGAGATGTGGGGAGATGAGAGGGCCAATGTGGGGGATGAAAGGGGCATGTGGGGAGATGGCATGACAGGGGTCATAGGAAGTGGGTGGTGGAGAAGGGGCATAGGGGCAAAGTGCCGTAGGGCTATGGCCAGAGAACTACTATGACACCCAACCTCTCCACTACCCCATCCCCCACCCATGTGCAGGCATGAACATAGCGCGTGTGTTTGGAGACAAATTCCTCAAGCAGCAGGGCGTGGGTCTCTCCTCCGACCCGTTCATCCATGCGCCCCTGCAGCTGCCCGTGCCTGAGGAAGGGGGCACGAGCAAGCCGATCATAGGAGTCATTGCCAGGTGTGTAATAGTAATGATGATTCTGGTGACGGTGCTTACGGTGGGGTAAGATGGCAAGGGGGGATTCGAGGAGCGTGAGAGCAGGACGTGGAACACTCCTCGGATCCATTCATCCACGCCCCCCTGCAGATACCCGTGCCTGAAGGAGGGGGCATGAGAAAGCCGGTCATTGGAGTCATTGCCAGGTGGGTGATGCTGATGCTGCTGATGGTGGGGGGAGGTCGCAAGGGGGGCCATGAGGAGGGTGAGAGCTGCTTTGAAACATAGTTCTTTCATTGCCGTTGCTTCATTTCCATGTCTCTCTGTGTTGCGTATGCGGGTCATGCATGTGTGTGCATGTGTATGCATGTGTGTGCATGTATGTGCATGTGTGTGCATGTGTATGCATGTGTGTGCATGTGAATCAATGTGTATGCATGTGTCTCCATGTGGTTGCATGTATGTGCATGTGTGTGCATGCACGTGTATGCATGGTGCATGCATACATGTCTACAGTGACGGTTTATGGGACGTGATGTCAGTTAAACGAGCCATTCAAGTGGCACTAGAGGTGAGGCAACGTTTGTTGATAATGTCATATCTTGTATGCCATGACCTTGTATGCCACGACCTTGTATGCCACGACCTTGTCAGATTTCATGAAGATTTTATGAACGACCACAATACGCCCTACAAGATTGTCCCAATGATGTACTCCTGTGTACAGTACGCCCGACAGTATTTTGTGTTGCACTGCGACGTACAGTTGATGCCTTGCTTGTCGCATCAGTTTGTTTTTGTTTTGTCCCCTTTGTACATTGCATTTTCTCCCATCTCCCCCAAGTCACGCATCCGCAATAGTTTTTCCTCAAATAGCATTTTCCTCGTTCCATATTGTGCCCCTACCATGCTCTCTGCTGTCCTCCTTGCATCATGCGTTTGCATGGACCAAGCAGGCTCGGAAGGAGCAGGAGGAGGGGGGTGTGGAGGGCAGTGCAGCAGAGGCAATGGCAAGTGCGCTGGTGGCGAAGGCACGCACGCTGCGGACACACGACAACACCACCGTGGTTGCCATCGACTTCACTGCCATGCTGCACGGCATTGCATGATGATGGGCGGCTTTATGGTGCTGCTGCTGCTGGTGGTGGTGGTGGTGGTGGTGGTGGTGGTGGTGGTGGTGGTGGTGGTGGTGCTGCTGCTGCTGCTGCTGCTGCTTCTAACGGGGGTGACAAGTGCGCTGGCGGGCAAGGCGCGCACGCTGCGAACGCAAGACAACACCACCGTTGTGGGGATTGATTCCACTGCCATGCTGCAGAGCAGCGCGCGATGGTGGTGGCGGTGATTCTTTCGTGATGGTGGTGGTGTGTTTGGGTTGAGTGAGATGTCTGGAAGGTGATCGTGGTTTAGGGTTTAGGGATGCCTGGAAACTGGAAAGATGCACAGCATGGTGTGATGAATGATGCATTAGGCTTGAGATACCGTAGCAGGTAGAACAAATTTGCACCCTTTTGAAATGGCTCGATAGCAGTGCAATGCAATGCAGCCCGATTTTCGTATGGTAATAACGGGCTTGAAAGTGAAATGGTTGGATGTAGGTATTGAGAGAAGTGGGATGTGTGAACTTGAGATGTAATGATTGTCTTTTATCTACAGCTACAGTTACAAGTGGTGTCATTGTAGCAATACACTCGTCAATGTCATGCTTCCAGCGGGGATGCCGCTCGAGCCACATCTGATAAAAAATATCATCAGGCTGCCGCAGCGCCATGACACAGCAGTAAGCAGCCTTAGAAGCTGCAACTGAGCAATTAGTAGCAGCAGGGACGGGGTTCGAGCGCGATTCCATGGCGTCCGCTCGCCATTCCACCCGCCTTCTCCGCTCGCTCCTCTCCCTCCGCCTCCCATCCGCTCCGCTTCCCCCGTCCCTTTCGAATCTCCCCGCGCGGCCATACCACCACCTTCCCGCCAAATTCGCTACTCCATTTCCCGGATCGCGTCGTCTCGAAACCCCGTTACTATCGCACCCGTTTGCTCTCTCGCACCGCCTTTCCACAACCGCTTCAGGTAGCGCAGGCGTCGGCGCCGGTGGCGGCGGCTTTGACGGAGACTCGAGATCCGATCCGCGTAACGGATCTTCGAGCCGCGTGGTTTCCGCGAGAGAGGTTTCAGGGGGAGCGGATGTTGAAGGGGGAATCTCGGACCGCGAAAGCGCGGAGCTAAAGCTTCGCGGAAGCAGCGTGGAGGTCGACGAGGACGAGGAGAAGGATGACGTGGACGAGGGGACGAACGTGCTTCCGGCGCACGCGTTAGCAAACGCCGACGCGATCAGCGCTGACGTGGCGGAGCTGACGTCAGCGTTGGAGGAGGAAGAATCAGGATTAGGTTTGCATCCCGAGTTAGACGTTGAGGGTTTGGAGCATATTATCGACATGGGCAGGCGGCTCGAGGGCATGCCGCGGCGCGTGCAGCGATTCATGTTTGAGAAGATGCTTAAAGTGAAGCCGGGGCGACCGCCGTCCATGCAGCGCTTGAAACGGGTGAGGGCTTGTACCGACTCAGGTTATATCGAGTATGCCCCGCTACCCCTGCTACCCCCTCCCCCCCATCCCTTTTTCCCCCTCCAATCACAGCAATTCCAGATGCGTATAGTGGACGTCACCGATCCATCTATCTTCCCCATTCCTTCCTCCCCTCCCCCCTCTCCTCTCCTCTTCCCCCTCCTCTCCCTCTGCGAGCGCCACAGCAATTCCAGATGCGTGTAGTGGCCGTCAACCACCTACCCATCCATCTGCCTCTTCTCTCTCCACGTGCCCGTCTCTCGCCCCTCTTTTCCCTTCCTCCCACCACAGCAATTCCAGATGCGAATAGTGGATGTCAACCGCACTGCCAAGGTCACCAAGGTTCGTTCCGCCCTCCCCTCCCCCCCCTCCCTTCCGTCCCATCTCCTCATATCCTCCCCATTCTCCTGCTTCCATTCTCATTTTCCGTTGCACGTTCTGCTTCTTCGCGTCGTCGCTTCCCTTCCCCCTCCCCCTTCCCTTCCCCACCCCCACCCCCACCCCCTGCCGCTTTCTGTGTACCCTGCATTTCCTGTCACTTCATTCTTTCTCATCAAACCCCTTTCGCTGGCAACTGCTGCCACATTCTCCCATTTTTTGACGCAAAAAAAAAATAAAAAAAAATAATTGATCCCTTTGCTGCCAACTCCTGTCAATGGGATTCAACGGAGTTGGTTGGCAGCAAAGGAATTGGGACCCCATCCCGTTGAATTCCTTTCCCACGTGATTGAAGAAGTGTTTTGAGACATCTCAAAACACTTCTTCTTTCCCGAAACCTGTTTGTACATGGGCTCCTCCGCTGCCCCCTTCTTGGCTTCAACGGTCAACCGTTGAAGCACTTCAAATCCTGTCTGAGATGAGACGAGTTTTGAGGCGCCCCAAAACTTAATGAGTCCCCCGCGGCCCTCTTCTGGGCTTGAACCCCTGTACCCACAACCCTGTTTCTTTGGCCCTTCACTGGTTTCATGGTCCTCATCCCCCAAGGGAGGCAAGGTGCTGAGTTTCACAGCGCTGGTGGTGTGTGGCAACGGCCAATAGACTCCCCTTCTTTGCCCCCCCCTTGCCTTTCCCCTCTCCTTCCCCCTCCGTCCCCTCTTTCTTCCAACACCCTCCCTCCCCCCATTCCCCGCGTTCCCCCAGGGAGGCAAAGTGCTGAGTTTCACAGCGCTAGTGGTGTGTGGGAACGGGCAAGGCACGGTGGGGTATGGCAAGGGCAAGTCGGCCGAAATGGGGTTGGCGGTTGATAAGGTGAGGCTGCCGGGGTGAGATGAGACAAGCAGTGCAGTGTGATGCAGTTCGGTACCGGGCTGTGAAGCCTGAGCTCGGCACAGCACCAGGGTATGGCAAGGGCAAGTTGGCAGAAATGGTGGTTGATAAGGTGAGACAGCAGGGCGAGGTGAGACAAGCAGTGCGGTATAGAGAAGTGCAGTGCGGTGATAGGTTGAGGAGCAGGGTATGGTAAGGGCAAGTTGGCAGAAATGGCGTTTGATAAGGTGAGGCTGCAGGGGTGAGCTTCTGAGGGCGGTTGATTGATGGGCATCTTTTGGTGTTACTTTTGAGAATTCTCAAAAGTAACACCAGGTGAGCTTCTGAGGGCGATTTATTGATGGGCATGTTTTGGTGTAAGTAGGTGAGCTTCTGAGGGCGATTTATTGATGGGCATATTTTCCCTACCTACTACTTCCGTCCCATCAACCATCTCCTATCCCCTCCCTCATCACCCCCTGTTGTCCCGCCAGGCCTACCTGCGGGCGCTGAGAAATCTGCACTACTTTGATTGGTTCAGAGAGCGAACAAACGATGGGGCATTCATCCCGTCTCCCCATCTACCCCCTCCCTCCCCCTCATCCCCCCCTCTCCCTCCCCCTCCCTCCCTACCCCTCCTGCAGGCCTACCTGCGGGCGCTGAGGAATCTGCACTACTTTGATCGCTTCAGAGGGCGAACGATCGCCGAGGCACAGATGGCGAAATACGGAAAGACCAAGGTGGGGCGGCTTGGCGTGTGACAAAGGTGGAGGAATTTCTGTTCTGAACAAGGTCGGGGCAGTTAAACAACAGGTCATGGATGATAGCTGAACAGTGGGGTGGGGTGGATGGAAAGGGCAGGCACAGGTGGGGATGGCGCACAAGGGGTGGGGTGGGCCATAGGAACAGGGAGCTGTGTTTGAGTCAACTCAAAGCACGACTCATTTCATGAGGAGCAGGGAGCTTGTGAGTTGAATCCACAGAGCCACTACTTACCTGAACCCTCATCCCTGTGCGTGGCAGGTATACATGTGGCCGGCGCGCAAGGGGTCGGGCATGAGTGTAGGGGCCCTCAGAACCCTACTCCACTCCACACAGCCCTGCCGTGCATGTGCCCCATCAACCCGTCAAGCCTTTCCCCTGTGCGTGGCAGGTATACATGTGGCCGGCTCGCAAGGGGTCGGGCATGAGTGCGGGGAGCCTTAGAGCCCTACTCCACCACTATTAACCTGCTTTTTTAAACTGTCGCCCTGTGCGTGGCAGGTATACATGTGGCCGGCTCGCAAGGGGTCGGGCATGAGTGCGGGGAGCCTTAGAGCCCTACTCCACCACTATTAACCTGCTTTTTTAAACTGTCGCCCTGTGCGTGGCAGGTATACATGTGGCCGGCTCGCAAGGGGTCGGGCATGAGTGCGGGGAGCCTTAGAGCCCTACTCCACCACTATTAACCTGCTTTTTTAAACTGTCGCCCTGTGCGTGGCAGGTATACATGTGGCCGGCTCGCAAGGGGTCGGGCATGAGTGCGGGGAGCCTTAGAGCCCTACTCCACCACTATTAACCTGCTTTTTTAAACTGTCGCCCTGTGCGTGGCAGGTATACATGTGGCCGGCTCGCAAGGGGTCGGGCATGAGTGCGGGGAGCACGCTGGCAGGCATTCTCAGACTCGCAGGCTTCCAGGCCGTCAAGACCAAGGTGGGTTGCAGGCACGTGGGGTTAGAGCCACGTGGGGTTAGAGCCACGTGGGGTTAGAGCCACGTGGGGTTAGAGCCACGTGGGGTTAGAGCCACGTGGGGTTATAGCCTCGTGGAGTTACAGCCACGTGGAGTTACAGTCTCGTGGGATCAGGCATGAGTGCAGGGAGCACACTGGCTGGCATCCTAAGACTCGCAGGCTTCCAAGCCGTCAACACCAAGGTGGGCTGCAGACACGTGGGGTCACAGGCACGTGGGGTTCAGAGGCAGGTTGGGTTACAGGCAGGTGGGGTCACAGCCACGTGGTTCGGGCATGAGTGCGGGGAGCACACACTGGCTGGCTTTCTAATGCTCGCAGGCTTCCAAGCCGTCAAGACCAAGGTGGGCCCAGATCAGAGTTTTGAGAACAACTGGGGCCAGGGGCAAGTGGGATCAGAGTGGAGTTGTGAGTACAATGTTTGGATTGAAACAGCGTTGTTAAGGCGCCTCAGAGGGGCATGCAGCGTGCTGCCTTTCAAAGCTGCCGGGCCTCCTGAGGCTGCCGGGCCTCCTGAAACCAGTCGGGTGGATGAGAGTCATTTGTTTGTGCTTGTCTCAATTTCTCTTCTGTGTATTGCCTGTGTGTCTCCATGTGTGTGTGTGTGTGTGGAGGAGGGGGTTGGTGGAGAATGTGTGGGGATGTGGTTTGTGTGTGTTTGGGGGGGGAGGGAGGTGTAAAGGGGTGGGGGGGCGTGTGGGTGTGTGTGCGTCCGTGTTATTCTGGGGTGGGTGTTGGGTGGGTGGCATCTGTGCGTGAGAGGGTGTGTGGGAGGGAGTCTGCAAGAGCAGGTGATTGGCTCACGGCATCCCCACAACACAGTGAAGGCAGCCTTCCAAGCTCTCAGCATGGTGCGACTCTCCTCTCATGCATGGCATGGCATGGCATGGCATGGCATGGCATGGCATGGCATGGAATGGCATGGCATGCAATCGCGTCTGCTTGCATCACTTTGCTGCCTGCATTTCTCAAAAGGCATTCCCACAACACGGTGAAGGCAGCCTTCCAAGCCCTCAGCATGGTGCGACTCCTTTCTTGCATGGCACGGCACGGCATGGCATGACACGGCATGGCATGGCATGGCATGGCATGGTATGACACGGCATGGCATGGCATGGCATGGCATGGCATGGCATGGCATGGCATGGCATGGCATGGCATGGCATGGCATGGCATGGCATGGCATGGCATGGCATGGCATGATCGCTCCTCACAGATGCGATGTTCACATATTCATTGTTCCTGTCGCCTCTCTCATCTGTCTTCTGTCTGCCTCTCTCATCTGTGCTCCTCTCTCTGCCTCTCTCGTCCCTGCTCTTCTCTCTGCCTCTCTCATCCCTGCTCTTCTCTCTGCCTCTCTCATCCCTGCTCCTCTCTCTACTTCTCTCATCCCTGCTCTTCCCTCTGCCTGTCATGTCTGACTGTAGCCCATACGACCACCTTCCTCAATCTAATTTGCCCATGCTCTCAAAGACATTATCCCCTCCCCGTCATCATGTTCCCCCATCTGCCCCTGTCTCATCTTTGCTATTCTGCCATCTATAAGACGTCTCAAAACCCATGACGTCTCAAAACAAAAATCCATATTTTTTCTGTCTCATCCATGTTTTTCTTTCTGCCCATCTTGTGTGTCCCTGTCTCTGGCTCTGCAATCCTGCCTTATCCTTGCTCTGATGTTACCAGGTTACAGCCAAAGCAGAGGCAGGCCAGCACCAGCCACTTCGTATCTCAGCCTGATCATCACACAAATGTCTGTTTTGGACACACTACCAGTGCACTGATCACAATATCATTAATGGAAAAAAAAAAAAAAAAACCAGATTAACGAAAGAAAAAATCCATCTGAAAACTCATAAAAACAGACAAAAATGTATGATAACGAGGACCATGAACATAACATAGTGCAATTTCCAGCTGTGACAGATCAAATTTCTGCCATGACAGCTAGAATCCCTACTGACAGGCCGAATCTCTACTGTGACAGGTTGAATCTTTGGTGTGACGGGGCGAATGCAGTGTCAGGATATAATTGTATGCATTATATTATAACTGCCTGTAGTGTAGACTTCGTGCAGTTCTAAATTAGTTTGGTGGTGCACATTTCCTATATCTTCCTCTCTTTCTATAATGAAACCATCATGCTCTCCACTCCTCCCTTGGCACAACCTTCTTGCTGTTGAGATAATGTCGAGACTTATGCACTTCAAGGAATTCGTATAGTTAGTACAGTAAAAGTACCGATAGACTGACGTCAGCAAAGCGCTACGCGCCTTAGGATGCCGTCATCAGTAGCTGTAGGTATCGCGAATAGTCACGTACCTTTTCAGAACAGGAATAGCGCGAATAAATACAGCACAGTAGGCGAACAGGTACTTTAGTCTAGTTATATATTCTGTATGCTTGTCATTTTATTATATACTTGATTTCAGAGACCTTTGATCCTGTTACAAGTCACTCATATAAAAAGACTTCCACTGCTACAGGAAGCTACTATCCTAAGACTACGATCCTATTCAAACAGTTCAGTTTCTAACATGGTATGAGAGCAACTTAGGATTAAAACAGCTTCCATCTGCCTATTCTACAACTATGTCTGGATCTCCAAGGTCCAACAATGGCTCTTCTGTTACGAGCCCATCACGCCCAACTGCGTCTCCAGCTGCTGATAATTCACATCTGCAGCAACAACAACAACAACAACAATATCAGCAACAACCGATGTACGGCATGCCATTGAGCAGTCAGCCCGTACACACAACTATAGCAGCGGCATCATCGACAGCAGCCGCCGCGACAGCAGCATCAGCAACTCAACAGCTGCAGCTGCAATCCCTGGTTTTTCAAGTCAACCGGGACAACAGTCTAACTTCGTTCCGACTGGACCTTACCAATATCAAGGTGCTTACCAACCAGCAAATCTTCAACAACGTGTTAATGCTGCCGTCTTGTCGCTTAACCAGATGTTTCCAACTCCGATGAGCATTGATGGCTCCAGTTATCAGCGTGGTCAGATGCCACAAGGAAGTGATGGGTCGAACAACTCTTTCTCCTTTGGTCCTGCTGGACAAGGACAACAAACACAACAAGGGACACAAGCGCCATCACTCTATCAGCTACAATCAGCTGACGGTACCGGAAGTTATATTCCTGCTTCTGCAAATCCTACAAAAATCAAAACGACAATGCCTTTTAACGGTCAAGATTTTTATACCTGGAGCTTTGAGTTTGAGCTTCTTGTTCAGACCGCGGGGTTCTGGCAGCTGTATGACGGCACAGCACCATTTCCATCACACGGGTCACCACTTCAACAAGCCACTTTTCGATCGGCGTCGCTGACTGCATACACAGTTCTCGTTCGTAATCTGACTCCGACTGAACAGCTCGGAATTCGTTCTTTTCGTAACAGTGTCGCTCCCGCTGAAGCTGCTTGGTTATACCTGCAAGGGGTTCACATGGCAAAAGATACTGTCAACCAGAGTAAAATTTTGACGCAGCTGTCAAATATACAGATGATAAACGGCGAGAAGGTGACGCAGTATATTAACCGCGCTCGAAATCTGCGCGATCAACTTCAGAAGTGTGGAGGGTACTTCCCCGACGCTATGTTCCACACGGTGCTACTTGCGGGTCTTGGACCAGAATGGCGACAGTGTCGCTCTATACTTCGGATGCAAGCACAGTTGTCCGAGGGGGCACTCTGTGCCGCTCTCATCGCCGAGCAGCAGGATATGGATCTGCACAACGCTCGAGGAGGGAAAAAGATGGTAAACAATACAGTCAGTTTTTATTCTAATCCACGTCACAAGCCCGTTTGTTCTTTTTGTCGAAAACCAGGACACACTATTGATACCTGCTGGTCGAAAGACAAACCATCTTGGAAGCGGTCTGCTTCGAAACATAATAAAGATTCTTCAAGTGAAGCAGAGAAGCCGGAAGCAGAGAAGCCGGACGCTGAGAAGCAGAATACTGCGAAGCTGAACTCTGCGAAGCCGACTACTGCACCTGCCAAGACACAAACAAAAGCAGTTATTAATTGCATGACATCAGTGTCAACGGTTTATGATCCTGATGCTGAAGAGCGAATTCACAACCGGTTCAACAACGAACTCAACACACCGATTCCACCTGAGGTCTATGCAAATCTTGCACATACCATTGCAGGTCCCAATACTTGGTACCTCGACAGTTGCTGCGGTCAGCACATGTGTTCGTCAGAGACGCGTTTCATCGTGAATCAACGCCGTCTGGAGAATCCCGTTGTCGTCACGGTCGCCAATAACCAACGACTTACAGCTCACTGGATGGGAAGTATTGTTCTGGACTCAGTTGAAGAAGACTTCAGTCTTCACCTGAACGAAGTTCTTTTGGTCCCTCGGCTTGGCTTCAACCTCATGTCATCTGCACAGCTCATGAAGAACGGGATTATACTTCTCGGTGAACCTGGAAAATTCACTCTGAAATACGGTGAAAAGAAACTTGGCACGGCAGTTGAGCAAAACGGTGTTTTCGTTTTGAACTTCATACCTGAGCGTACTACTGCTGACTCTGATAACATTCTCTCGCTTGGTCCTTGGGAGCATCGTGATGATATTGATTACACCGACAATACAGTTCCACGTGAGGGAGTTGTCCCGACGTCTTCAACCACGGCTGCCGCCGTCATGTTGACCTTTGACGACCAAGGCTTGAATGATGTTGAGAACTCTCGGGAGTACATGGCTGCAGTTGAAGGTTGGGGTGATCCTGTCAGAACATTATAGCTTATGCTGTTGTGTAGGCTATAGTGGGGTATCCCATAGGGGGTACAACCAATTAGGGTTTCATATTTGTACTCACTTCATTTTCATAGTTCACTCATTCTCGTTCTCATTCTCACATGGAATCAGAGCAGGTCCCCTCCTAGGGACTGTTCCTTGGGCCCACCGAAGCGCGCCTCGAGTCGCGCCTGCCTTTTTTTTTAGCGGCCCGTCGAGTCGCACCTAGCGGCCCGTCGCGCCGCCCTTACGGTCGCGTCGAGCCGCCCTAGCGGCTGCGGCGCGCCGCCCTTTTCCCGGCCCGTCGCCGCCCTTACCCGCGGCTTTGCGCCGCCCTCACCGGCGGCTTCGCGCCGCCCCTACCTGCGGCTTCGCGCCGCCCAGGCCCGTCACCGCCCTTCCCGCGGCTTCGCGCCGCCTCTACCTGCGGCTTCGAGCAGCCCCGGCCCGTCGCCGCCCTTACCTGCGGCTTCGCGCCGCCTACGGCCCGTCGCCGCCCTTTTCTGCGGCCCCGCCGCCTCTCTCGTTGCGGCCCCGCCGCCCGTCTTCGCGGCCCCGCCGCCATCTCTCGCTGCGGCCCCGCCGCCACTCACTGCGGCCCCGCCACCCGTCTCAGCGGCCCCGCCGCCCGTCTTCGCGGCCTCGCCGCCTCTCTCGCAGCGGCCCCGCCGCCTCTCACTGCGGCCCCGCCGCCCTACTCAGCGGCCCCGCCGCCCGACTTCGCGGCCCCGCCGCTTCTCTCGCTGCGGCCCCGCCGCCTCTCTCGTTGCGGCCCCGCCGCCCTTCACTGCGGCCCCGCCGCTTCTCTACAGCGGCCCCGCCGCCCTACGTCAGCGGCCCAGCCGAGCCGCCCAGCAGCAGAGCAGCCGAGCCGCCCCGCCGCCGAGCCGCGCTGCAGCCGAGCCGCCCGGCCGCCCACCAGCCGAGCCGCCGTGCAGCCGACCGCCCAGCCGCCGAGCCTCCCAGCTGCCGAGCCGCCCAGCCGCCGAGCCGCCCAGCCGCCGAGCCGCCCAGCGGCCGAGCCGCCCTGCAGCCGAGCCGCCCGAGCAGCCCTGTCCGGTGAGCACAGACCCTCTGTCACTGCGTGCTCTTCCCCTACTCCTTGCACTGCTGGTCTACTGCAGTCATGGCTACCCCTAGTGTCCTCACTTTTGACGCTGAGGGTCGGGCCATTGACTTTGAGGTCTGGGTAGATGACCTACAGCTGTTCTTACTGTGCGATAGGGCGGACGGCCTCTCTCTCTTTGACCTCACCTCTGGCGCTTCCCCTGCCCCTGCTGCTGATGCTGACGCCACTGTTCGCTCCCAGTGGGCCACGCGCGATGCTGCTGCACGTCTTGCTGTGCGTCGCCACCTCCCTACCTCCGAGCGTGCGCACTTTAGTCAGTACAAGAGTGCTCAGACCTTGTACGCCGCTGTAGTCGCACGCTACTCCTCCCCTTCCACTGCTGCACTGAGCCGTCTCATGCTGCCGTACCTCTTCCCTGACCTTGCTTCTTTTCCCACCGTTGCTGACCTCATTACGCACCTCCGCACTAGTGACACTCGCTACCGCGCTGCACTTCCTGCTGACTTCTGCACCGCGAACCCCCCCCCCATGTACATCACTCTGTACTTCCTAGTCACTCGCCTCCCTGACTCCCTTCGAGTAGTCAGGGACCACTTTCTCTCAGTCTGTCCCACCACACTCACTGTAGACCTCCTCGAGAAGGCCCTCCTCTAGAAAAGAGCATAGTCGCTGTAGGAGCCTCTCGAGGTGACCCGCGCACCCCCATCTTTGAGGGGTGTTCTCCCTCCCCCCTGCTGCCCTCTGTTGCCTCTGCTGCTTCGGCCGACCTCCTTGGTCTTGAGTCGGTCGGTGCGGTGTCTGCCCCTAGCGGGAGACGCCGCCCTGGCAAGGGCAAGGGGGGCAAGGGAGCTGGAGGAGCGGGCGGTGGAGGTGGAGGTGGAGGCAGTGGGGGGAGTGGGGGTAGCGGTGGAGGT